GTTTACAATAACTAGTTTTATTACTGCTATTGTCAGCGGGGGAAGTGTATCCCGGCTTGCAGGTAGAGCAGAGTAAGGAACTAAAATATTTATCTACTATGAAAGAAAACAAACAATATTTCGTAGCTTACGTTCGAGAGTAAAAACGCAAAAACACGTCTACTGGTATATAAAAATTGCCATTTTGTAATATTAGTTTCAAAAGTTTTGAGCGACATTTGACAGGTGTATGACGTCATCGATAATTTTTTAAATAGCACCTCCTACTTTTATTTTAGCATAAAGTCCCTTGAAAGAGAATTTTTGATATGCGGTTTAACCTAATTTACTGTCATAAGAAATGAAAAAAGCCAAATGTGTGTTTTAAAATAAATTAATATAATCATTGTCAGAGACTGTTGAGATCTTTACTCGCAATACACACAACAAAAAAAATGCTTGTTCATATACAGCCTGTTATTGAAAGGTACGTACAAAATAAAGTCGGTAATTGGTCTCGACGTATGGGTGCTAAAAGTTAAAAAAAAGTTCAGGTAAAAGTGTTCTCCTTTTAGAGATAAAAATTATTAAAATATATGTCCAAATTCGTTCTACGCCTCTGATAAAAAGATCATCTTTCGTTTCTATAGCAACATTTAGTCTTGACAAAAGTTTTATTGTTACAGTTGCTAGGATTTACTAAAATAAATTAATTTTACCTATTTATCCTTGAGTAGCGTCTAAAAAGGTTGGATAAGGGTTAATTTTCCCCTTATAATTTTGATAACACAAAATAAGTTTTTCCGACTTCTTAGACTTTGAGAAGAACTGTCCATTTTGTTGTACGTACCTTTCAATAACACCCTGTATATAATTCCGACCATAATTCTTACTCTTATTTTTAAATTCCTGTTTCCATAAAAATTCGTACGCATTGGGCATATTCTGTAAGTAGGTAGAAAAGTAAAATTAAATTTCCAAGAATATTTTATTGTAGGTACGAAGGTACGTTATTGTGAGTATTTCTTAGTAATCTTGGAATTTTTCAACCCAAAATCTTAGAAATTTAGGTAGGTACATACCTAGTTACCTCTCGGAATGTATTTTGAATGAAGCAAATTGGTCGAAGTTTATTTCGACAGAACTTCTCTCGCCTCTGAAATACAATAAAACAAACCCAGCTTTTTCGAAGAATTATAAAATTTGATTATGCAAATTTTATTTTTTTGTGAGAACCCGGATAAGTTAAAAATTTTTCCAAAAATTCTAGATGTCTAGGGTGAAAATTCTACACGGATTTACACACCACAAGTGCAGGAGTATCTAATTTTATAAAATTTAAAAAACTTTGTATTATAAATTTTGGAGATGACGTCATCCCATTGGTGGTGGAGATGATTTGCCAAGTTTTAGTTAGCGTTTAATCATCTGCATGATATTTCTAATATACATATAAAATATGGCAAATCCAGTAGTTTCGAAGAACACTTGTCTAATAAAAAATGGATACAGACTCCAGACAGACAGATAGACAGATAGACAGACGGACAGACAGACATACGGAAACGGGAGACCACTTCTTTCGTACTCTAGAGGTCATGACACGTCGAGAAATTAGTACTGGACGTAGAATTGTTGACATAGACCACTTATTAACAACACTGAAATCAATCAGTCATAATATGTTGGGCTGTACTTTAGACAATATTGATATAATAGCTTACGAAAATTGTTATGATTTAAAACGTGTTTTCTACTACAAATGTAATATGTACGGAATATTCGGTAATTTTTGTACAGAACCTGAAAATCATATATACAAAGTCAATTATGCAGCTATTTGTGGAGTTAGATCAACGGGCTTGGGTTATTCTCAAATTTCAAAATTTTGTTCAGCTCAAATACCCCAGGCGACATATCGTAAAGCCGAAGTTAGAGTTCCAAAGAGCATCGAAGCACTTTTCGAAGAACAAACCAAAACGCAGGTAAAGAAGAGTACCGATTAGCTGTGAAGGCGAGGGAGGTAGATAATGATTGCGTCCCATATACAGGGTGTTATTGAAAGGTACGTACAACAAAATTGACAGTTCTTCGCGGAGTCTAAGAAGTCTGAAAAACTTATTTTGTGTTATCAAAATTTTAAGAGAAAAATGAACCCTTATCCAATCTTTTTAGACGCTACTGTATGATAAATAGGTAAAATTAATTTAATTTAGTAAATCCTAACAACTGTAACAATAATAAAAAATAACAGACCCTTTTGTTGCTATAGAAACGAAAGATGACCTTTTTATCAAAGGCGTATAACGAATTTGGACATAAATTTTAATAATTTTTATCTCTAAAAGGAGAACACTTTTACCTGAAATTGTTTTTACTTTTAGCACCCATACTTCGAAATCAATTGCCGATTTTATTTTGTACGTACCTTTCAATAACACGCTGTATTACCGTTATTGTCGATGGAGCTTGGAACAAATGCTCTTACAAATCCAATTACAATGCACTGGCTGGGGTAGGACGCATAATTGGTGCCAGAACTAAAAAAATACTTTATGTTGGAGTCAAAACAAACTTTGTAGTTTCTGTAAAATCTGTATGAAACAGAAAAAAGAAATTCCAACACATAACTGTTTTAAAAACTGGGAGCAAACATCTATGTCCATGGAAGCTTCAATTATCTTAGAGGGATTTACTTTAGATACTTTATAGGAGAATTATAGGCGACGAGGATAGTAGCGTATTAAAAAAAGTTCGGGCTGCAAAACCATATGGTGCATATTATTTTATAGAAAAAATTGAATGTAGAAATCACATACTTCGTAATTATTGTTCCAAAATTAGAGAAATAGTTAAAACAACGAAAGCAGATATCACTATTAAAAAAATCGGATTTATTAATAAAGCTGTCACAAAGTAACGTAAATGCTATTGAAAAAGGTACTTGTGGTCAGCGAATGTGTAGGGAATGGAGTAAAGAAAGGACAAAATGAGAGACGGAATTATACTATCCTCAAACGTATTTGGCGTTTATGACTTCACACCAATTTGACTCCCATTATAATTCAATAGGCCGTCACAACCGGATGTCTTAAACCCGCTCACCGATACCTACCTGAAAAGACCTTTTCTGGTAAAAGCACAGGGCAGGACTGAGTTTTGCATTTACCGACAACTGCGCCTTTCGAGTTTTTTATTTTAAGTAAAAACAAAGTAACTTTGTACTCAATCATTTTTTATTACAGCACAACTATTTACTTATTAACTACTACTGCTTATTTATTGATCGAAATAGTCACTGTCATCATCACTCGACTCTTCTAAATTAATAATTAACGGTGTTATCAACCGTGCCCTGTACTGGTCTTCTTCTTTTGTGGAATGTCGTACACAATTGTATTAAAAGTATGTTTGAGACGTTATCCTGTTACTTTTCAACTTGAGTTTGCTTTGAAAGCATTTAAAACAGTACACGTGTGTCAATATGTCGAAGATAACTCAAATTAATTAATAGATTAAATCTTTTCCTGAATTTATTCTTCAAGAAAGCACTGTGTTTTGTAGCTTCTGCTACAAACCGCATTTCTACTTACAAATATATGTTTTTGGGATCACCGGCAAAATTTTTTGCTACAATATTTCGAAAAGTATTTAAAAATAAATTGTTACAAAAATACTAATTAAATGGCCTGTTATTATTTTTTTTTTATTTATTTGTCACTATTTAATGTAAGACAATAATTTTTAAAAATTTTAACAAACAAAATTACTCTGAGTCCGGTCCTTCGCGTCTCGACCGTCCCTGGCACGTGGCATGGTTTACATTTACTAAGTTTTATGAAGGGTCGGCTGTAAAGTACTTTAAACGTCAAAGCCATAAACGCCAAATATCTTTGAGGACAGTATAACATCGCAAATACCGTGAAAAGCATTGTGCATTCCGATAAAACTTTATGAAAAAATTGCCCAAGTCTATACAATTTGCTATTGACAATGAAGAAAAGGCCAAAGAAAAATTTGAAGCTCTAACAAATTTGAAAAAAAATTTTAGAAGCTTCTCCAGATGGGTTAATAAATTATAATTCAATTGCAGAGATTAAATGTTCATATGCGGCTTGCAGTACAAATATTAAAGAGCTATTTAAAATAAAATCATTAATTTATTGTTCAATAAATGCAGTTATTACAATTACCTAGTTTGAACCCGAACCACAACTATAGGTATGTATCAGGTATAACAGGGTCCAGTGCATATAACTAAAAGATATATACCTATATCCTTCTTAATGCTATTGTCAGGTACTTCAAAGGGTGGTCAAATAAGCTTAAGATATTTAAAAGGTGCTCTATTGTGTGGGCCATAAATTACAGCTTACCACTTCAGGTAATATTTTGGGTTGCCTAACTTACCAAAATTTGCCCAAAATGCTTTGCAGTTTTTTTTACAATAACTAAAAGAAGTAAAATTTTAACAGAGAACGAAGACTGGCGCCTAAAGTAGAAAAAAATTCTCTATCACCTCGATATTTTCTAAAAGCACACCGAGTTATAGTTTTCGCTGAAAATGGACTCTTGTTTTACGCACTTTAGTTTTTATTTCAAAACACTTCCTTAAACATTTTTATGTCATGAACATGTACATGTATGGCCCTGCTCTTCAACTGTTAAAATGAAGGCGCAAAATGATTCACTGTTTTGCCTTATTTTGACATCTTTTAATGACTGTGTGGAGCAAAATTTTTACCGCAATTCGGTCACATGCTCTCTAGGGTGCTTTGATCATTAAATATTACGAGTATAATAACAAAAACTTGTTCGTTATCTTTCTTATAATCCTAAACTGTTCACAGTTGTGATCATTACATTAAAAATAAAATAAATGTGTAAGACAAAGAAATAGTTTTTTTTTGTTTTTGGCTATTTATTTACAAAAAAAATATATAATAATAAATAATAATTAATTAAACAAAATTTTATGATAAAAAAAACACAATAGACATGAGACATTTCCAATAATAATAATCGGCAACAGTTATCGACGTCCGATCCACTTGCACTCTTCCCACAACTCCCAGATATTTTTGTAGCACCGGCGGCAAAGGGGCCCGTATCTTGGACACTCCAGGGTTGCTCGTTGAGGAACCTCGGCGTCGCAGCACAGTGAGCACCACCTTCTGTCGTCGGTGAGGTTCCTAGGAGTGGGCAACTCCAGGGAATTTTCCATTCTAGAACTAAACCAAAGGAATTAGATCGAAAACTAGAAAACCTAAATTTTACTTACCGATGATATGGTTGTGTGTTGTGTGCTGCTGCTTGAAGATGTATTTTTTTGCAACAGTCGTGGCAGTGACTTGTCGGAGTGTATAACTGCGGAGAATTTTCCATGCTGAACTGCGTGAAGAAGCTGTGCTCTCGATGACTAATGGAACTATGAATTTTACGTGCAAATTTTTCCGTTTTTATAGGGTTTGTAGAAGGAGAGTAGGGGTTGTACAGGTAAAGTAGGAGTGATACGAAAAGAGGAGGGGTTGTACAGGTGTAGAATGTTTGCAAGAGTGTTTATTGGAAACCCTTAATCGTTTAGGATTATGATAATGGTAATTTACAACCCTGAACACCCGATTGCTTATCTCAAAGTAACGAAGGTTCTAAGAATCAGATGTACATTATGGTGTTTTAGATTATTTTGTTTTTATAAATGGCATATTTAAGCTTACTAAGGGGCTCCACATTTTTGTTATTAACCCTAGCAGAATTTGAAATTTTTAGAAATAGATAGATATATATATATAGATGATATAATAGATAGAATGATATGTTTTTTTAAAAGAAAGATAAGGATCAAAGGGGCCCCTGAGATTTTTTTAAATTCTTGAAAAAAACATACAATGAACCTCTGAAATTTTTTTAACTTTTGTAAAAAGTTACAAACTTGTAAAATTCAAAAATCAAAAAATTGAAAAATCAAGAAATTGGAAAATCACAAAATTCACACAACGAAAAATTGTAAATTGATACATTGAAAAATTTAACAATTTTTTTTTAAGAAAATTGGAAAATTTGAGAAAATGATCAATTTAAAATGGAAAACTAGGAAAAGTGCAAATGAAAAAACTAAAAAAACGAAAAATTGAAAAACATAGGAAAAAACGAGACATGAAAAACTGATAATTTGAAACATCAAAAAGTTGAAAATTCAAAAGTTGAAAAATGCTTTCAAAATCGAGGAATTGAAAAATTGTCAAATCCAAAAATTGAAAAATTGGTAAATTTAAAATTGAAAACTAGGAAAAATGCAAATCGAATAATTGAAAGAGTAAAAAATTGAAAAATCGTACAACAAATTGTGGAACGATTGCGAAATCTAAAAGTTACAAAACTGTAAAATTCAAAAATCAAAAAATCCAAAAATCAAGAAATGGAAAAATCTCAAATAAAAAAAATGAAGAAAAGGAAAAATTGAAAAATCAGATAGTTAAGGATGCGAATGACAATTTGCAAAACCGAAAAATCCGAAAATTGAAACATTAAAACATCGATAATATTCAAAAATTTAAAATTGAAAACTAAGGAAATTACAAATGGAAAAATTAAAGAAACGAAAAATTGAAAATTCCAAAAGATGAAGAATGTGAAACGGAAAATTGCAAAACTAATACATGATCTAAAATTGAAAATCGAAAAACTGCAAAAACAAAAAATTGTAAAATTGAAAAATTCAAAAATTAAAAATTGAGTAACTGAACACTTAATTAAAAATCGAGAAATTAAAAACTTCAGAAATCTAAAAACAGAAAAATTGATAAATTTAAAATTGAAAACTAGACATTGCAAATCGAGTTACTGAAGAAACGAAAAACAAAAGATGGAACTATAGAAAAATCTAAAAGTTACAAAATTGTAACATTCAAAATCAAAAAATTCAAAAATCAAGAAATTGTAAAATCGAAATTAATTTGACAATTAAAAAAAAAATCGAAAATTTGGGAAAGTGATCAATTTTAAATTGAAAAATTGAAAAAGAGAAAATGAATAAATTAAAGAAATGAAAAATTGAAAAATCGGAAAGTTGAAGAATGAGAAACGAAAATTTGCAAGACTAAAAAATCTAAAAATTGAAAAAAAAACAAATATTATAAAATCGAAACACTTGAAAAATTGAAAAAAAAAAGTTTTTTTTCAGTTACCTATTAACAAATTTAGCATTAACTTAAGTTTTAAATATTCGTGTGTAAAAGCAATCCCAAGCACCGAAACATAAATAACATAAAAACCATCAAAAAGTTTTGCTGAAAACAACCACTTTGCCCAGACTTTGAAAAATTCAAGAAATCCACATCAATCTTGTTTAGCAGCGCCCAGACAGCAAACTTTTTCAAATTTTTCGAATCAAAGTTATTTCGAATTGTAACAACTCGATCTTAAAGTTATGTGCAGTAAAATCACCACTTAAACTCTTCAATTTGTTGTTTCTAAGATCCACCTCTTGAAAGTGATGCGTGCGAAAAATATTTACCGAAAATGACGTCAGTAAATTGGAACTAAGGTCGATTACAAAACTGCTTCTGTTCAGTCCCTCAAAAACATCTTCATCTATAAACGCAATTCTGTTCATTCCTAAGCTCACACTGAAGTGATCTTTTTGCACGAAGCTAAAAGACCGTTTCCCTAAATGAGTGATTTTGTTATTGGACAAACGCAAATTTTCCAGCAGAGGTACCATCGAAAACGTTTCAGTGTTGAAGACGGACAAGTTGTTATAACTTAAGTCTACATCATGTAATCCAGACATGTTAAAAAATGCTTCGTTTTCTAGTTCTTCAGTTGGGTTTTCTGTTAGTGTCACGGTCTTGAACTTATCATTTGTAAATGTGTGTGCTTTTATTGTTTTTATGCTGGTTGTTAAAATCATCAAATTAGATATATCTTGGTCGAGTAAAAAATCTTGTCCTAAATCGGTCACACTAGGACTATCTATTACTGCTAAATATTCCACAGGGTGCGAAATATTAAATAATCTTCGACTCAGTTTTGCTGCTTGAATCTCGCTAATGTGGACGTAATTTGTCTCAAATGGTATTGAAATGACGCAATTACTTTTTTCTATGCCATGTTTCTGACCATTAACGTAGATGGAGATTGTGTAATTTATCAAAGGAGATGTTGATTGGTTACACATCAAGGCAAGTGTTTGGAGTGATAAAACACTTAGAACTATCGACACGAACATCGTGAAACACACTTGAAAGGGAATGAAGTGCTTTTGTTATTGCTTTCGTAGAAAGAGAATTTTTTCCCATCAAACTATCTAACACATTAAGTCTTCATAATCTGTTGCAACCTTTAATAATGCTTTTAATGGAGAAAAGAAATTTGGTAATTTAACAAGCATTTTTATACAAAAAAATTGGCGAAGGTTATATCCCTTATGCTAAAAATGGAAGATTTTACAGCCCGGTCGTATTTCTCGAGAGGTCAAGGAAAAGGCTGATAAATTTATAAAAAGTTATAAAAACTGGGCTAAAGCCACTTGGGAGTCATTAAAAATAAAAAAAAAACAATTCTAATGTAACTTTGGCTTCAACAAACCTAATCTAAGCAAATATTACTTAAAATATTGGAAAAAGTTTATAGAAGGAGAGTAGGGGTTGTTTGTACAAGTAAAGTGGGGGTGATAGGAAAAGAGTAGGGGTTCTACAGGTGCAGAATGTTACAATGTTACTATTAAAAATTTGGTAAATAACTTGGACATGCTATTTATATCAATTTTCAAATAACTTCATCTACTTTACTTTTTGTTCTTTTTACATATTTATTGAAAAGCGACCTGTATATCACATATTTCCATAGATTTGTATAATCACTAGTTAATACTTATTACTTAGTTGGTAAATTTGTGCGGGCTGGCAAGTCCCACAAAATTGTATAGGATTTGTAAATTTGTATATAATGTGTATTTAATTACTCCCAGTATCACCCCGAAACTTTCTCTTCGTCCACATGCATGTCGCAAAACCTATCTTTTGTTCACCATTCTCAGTAATACTTATCCTTTCCCAGATTTCGAATGAATACCTTCCAAGAACCCTTTAGACACAACTGTTCCCACCGGAGAAGTAACATTTTTCTGCGCTTACCTACACATTAAAACAATTTTAGCTTTATTTGTTATTGATCTATGCGGCTCCGAATGATATAATTTCTGAAGTTGTGAAATAAAATCACCGTAAACTAAACTAAAATATTCACATTAGCATTATCTTATTATCTACAATTAAGACATATTAGCAAATTTGTAGCTGACACATTCCACAAAATTATACCTTGAAATTTCATTCCTTTTGAATTGAACAATTTTAGATTTTATAATCTATATCTACCAAATACATATTTTGCAATATATCGTTTTCCGTTTTTATACACGGAATTTATTTTTATATAGAAATCAGTTTGAATATTTTTCAAAGCGTCCAAAAAGAAAGAAAATTAAACCAAATAGATTTCGTATCCATCTGCCAACTTCCGAATGGGTATTTTTGTATTCCACGCTAAGTTCCACACATTTTATTTTACCGCACCTGTTTCTAAAGTCAAATATGATGTAATTAACTCAATAACATCAACCCAAAATACACAACTTAGCATGCCTGTGCCTTTCTACGAAAGAATTGTTGGCAAATGAACCCATTTTTTTATAATGTCAAAAAATGAATTGGTTTATACGATCCCAACTATGATTTGTCAGGTTGAAAACACGGTTTTTCGACCCAATGGAAATGCGAGTTACTGTGGTTTGTCGCCAAAAGCCCACGCTCAGAAAATTGAGAATAAATTAAATTTTTTGCATTTACAAAATGTACTTGCAAGATAAGCTGGGATGTATTTTTCGTAGTTGATTTTTCTTGAAAAAATTTCAATTTACTCATTTCTTAAGTCTAGTGAATTTACTTTGAGCGGTGCCCGGTGCCTTAGTGCTTAGGGATTAACTGAGCCTTATAATTACCAAGATTATACAGGTACTACTGGCGTAGTTGTGCCCTGCGCCCCATCCCCGAACGAAAATATACCGCAATTCGGTCAACTGTATGTATAGTAGCTGTCAGAATAAGCTTAACGCCTCAAGCGCACAATAAACCCCTAACCACAGCTTATAGATGCCATAAATTTGGGCCGAATGCCGCGTACCATTCAGTTGGTACTTAAATAAGAGATATGCTATGCCCAAATAGTGGAGAGTAATAAAAATTACAACCATCCTAATCACTTCAATGACTGGCAGCACGACCATGCCCCAGGCAGCATTCGGTCTAATTTGACGGCCACTTTACCTGGTTACTTGATACTTAAGGCTCCACCACACCTCAAGGAAATTTCTATTTTAAGAGATATGCAACTTGTTAAAGTTCAACTATCGGTATTTGAAGGTGACTTCACTGGCGATTAACGACTAATTAGCACTTGGTTTGAGTTATTGCTTAGACCCTGTTGTAAATGTCTCCATCAAGACGACGATCTGCAGGGTAGGACCGGACCAGCGTGGTCCGCAGCTTACCGTTTCTTTTCATTGAAATAGTAATCCGGACAATGACCATGTCTTGATGGACACATTTACAACAGGGTCTAAGTAATAAATCATTCCAAGTGCTAACTAAGCTTTAATCCCCAATGAAGTCACCTCCAAATAGCGATAGTCGAACTTTACTTGTAGTAAAACCTGGCTACTGTTATTTGGAGGTGACTTCACTGCGGATGATGCACTTAGGATGATTTATTGTTTAACCCCGCTGTAAATGGATTCATCAAGACTGTGTTTAAAGAAGTTTAGAAATTTTTCGCGTACGGCACCGAGTCCCTCGCATGTAAAGAAACATTGATGTCTCCGACCGTTTATTGCAGTGGGCGGTTATCCCGCTAGTAAAAGCCCTTAAGGCGAATAGAGATTGGTAGAGTCGCCTTCAAATATCGGTAGCCATGCTGTACCTAACTACGCAACCCTGCTGTATATTTCCCACAACCCAACATGAGATTATATTTATCCCTTTAGAACAGCTGGTGCTAGGTACAGACTTTTGCATTCTCCCGTTCCTCACAGAATTTTAACATAATTTTTAAATCGATAACTTTACAGTTTAACTTTCTTTATCACGTTTGGCACTTGTTTATTTCTAATTTCTCTCTTTTCTTATTATACATTCTTCCGGCATCTAAACTTTGTTCGCTATTAGACTTTCTCACATTACACTGTTTTAAAATATGTAACCAACCTGTTAAGTTGCATGCATCATTCAACACCCACATATAAAAAATATGTAACTGTTGAAAAACAATGATTTTAAAAATCACACTAATCACTACTTTAGGCCCAATGCGAGTGTTTGTTACTTATTTAACAGATTTTATTTATTATCTTACCTAAGTCTTGATATTTAATATGCGAACGAATCATGCTATTGCATATATTTGCCTTCTGCTGCACATTTCACGTAACAGGTGCATATTTTGCACTTTTATCAATTTTTGTGCTACTTTGAAAAAAAAAAATGATTGTCATTCTATCGGCATTTATCTAGAAAGACGAAATTTCATTAATCATATCGCAAATATGGTCCTGAGCTTCAAATAACTCGGAAAGGTTTGGGGTTTATGGTAGTTTGGAGAAACCACTGGGTGTTAAGCCATCCTTCCAGGTAAATTCCGCCACTAATTACTTTTGAAAATACCGTTCATTTCCAATGTTTTTGTTCGTTACTTAAGTGTATTAAGTCTAGGAGACGTTATCCTATTATTTTTCATCGTGAGCTTGCATTGAAAGCATTTAAAGCGATACAGGTGTGTCAACATGTCGAAGATTACTCAAATTAATTTATGGATTAAATTCTTTCCTGAACTTATTCTTCAAGGAGGAACAGTTTTTCTATTTACAATTACATACTTTAAAATCACCTGAAAAAATTTTTGTTAAAATTTTTCAAAAATATTTAAGAAGAATTGTTACCACAATAGTAATTAAATAGTCGATTACTACTATTTTTTAATTTGTTCTGTTTATATTTATTTTTTAGTATAAGAATATTATCTTTAAAAATGTGACTTATGTGTTAGTGAAATGTAATTAACCGCTTTGCAATATGATTTATTATTTTTTATAATAAAATGTAAGCTCGGGAAACTTGTTTATATAATTTGTAAATAAATTTAGTTCGGTTTTTACGCTTTGTTTTCAATTTTTGGAGCATATCCAACTGCATATCTCTGCATATATTAAGAAAGTTATATTTCGCAAAATTTTTCTGCATATTTTCCGTTCTCTACACTTATTAGACAAATACACCCCTACGAAATATTGTAAGAATAATAAATTTGATAATTACCTAAGCTTTCGCAGAAGTTATACAATATTAGGCATTCCCTGAATTCATTGGATTACGAGTACTTAGTTAATAATGTCGTTAATCCTTTGGGTTTTTAGGTGAAAGTAAAGAAGAAGTTTTACAATAGGTATAAATATAATACCAGCTTAAAATCTAAATGTAAAGAAAAATTCTAGAAAGTACTGTATAAGTCTGAGGAACTTCACAATTTACGTTATAGGAGAATCATAGACAATGGGGCTAGTAGTATATAAAAAAAGTTCGGGCTGCAAAACAATATGGTGAACATCATTTTAAAGAAAAAATTGAATATAGAAATCACATACTTCGTAATTATTGTTCTAAAATTAGAGAATTAATTCAAACAACTAAAGCAGATATCTAATATATAAAAATAAGTCGGGTTTTCCTTCCTGACGCTATAACTCCAGAACGCACGAACCGATTTCCATGGTTTTGCATTCGTTGGAAAGGTCTCGGGCTCCGTGAGGTTTATAGCAAAGAAAATTCTGGAAAAATTTTAAGAGAAAAGCAGGAAAACAGGGAAAATCATTTTTTTTTGCACGGGAATCGCCACTTCGAAAGAATTTGAATAGTTGGCCATTCCTGACGGACCTGTCGCCTGACTGACGTGTCACACAAAACTATTTCTTCCGTGCGATTGTGAAAAGTATTATTGCATTTCAAGTCGTTGTTTGTTTTTTCGTAACAAAAAACGTCGTTTATTTCAAGAAAAGTGTTCGTTAAAGTGAATTCAGTTACGCATTGCGAAAGTTTCTTATTAATTTTGATCTGCCATTCTATTTACCTATGTTCACTTTGTTGGTTTCGACAAAACCTCAAACTTTACCGTTATTCGAGGATTTGATTTGAAGTTTTCAGTATTTTAAAATTCTCAAGACAAAATTTACAAATTTGATTGACTGCGAAAATAATTCTGTGTCGTTTTATGAAGTTCATTACAACGCCGAGAAGACGACAAGCTGACATAGGTCCACGAAGTCAATGAAATGTGCGACGAACTACCTCAGCCACAAATCGCAATGATTTATTTCATGGGTAATTCGGATACGGAAGTTGATCAGCGTCGTGCTCATAATCAACATAATAGTCAAACATTGAAGCGAGACATTGGGTGGTATGAATAAAACTGAGTAGATACTCATATTCGAAGTAGGAAGTAGCTACTTTATTATTACTCTTATGTACCTGAGCATCTACTCTATGTACTGAATACCTACTTGGAAACATTGTATCTCCCCGGACACATATTGAACATCTACGCATTTTGTGAGCATTTAATCTAAAAATGAGCATCGGCGTGGCAAATAACTGAGCTGTCTGTAAAGCAGCTTAGAAAACGAGCAGGATCGTTGTAAGAGTGACTTTTGACTAAATATGGGGACTTTCATGAACGTGGAACGTCGCCAAAAGGTGCATTCAGTTTGAAAAACACATTAGCAGTGGGAATATCGAAAACTTTTCAGGTAATTAACTTTTATTTATGCATAAATTATGCAGTACGTTTTTTCTAACACTGGCCATAGAGATTCCCATCTCACGGTGTCTACCCCATTCTGACTTATATTTTGGGGACCCGATTTTTGCCTTGATGGTTGAACACTGTCACTGTTTTCCTTTTTTGTTGTATCGAGATGCTACTTGAGCATCAAGTGTTACCTACTGAAGTATTAGCATCATCTAGAAAAACTAGAAATATTTTGATTTGATATTCGAGCATCTACTGAGTTTTATTTATATCAACCATTGTCAAACAACTGATCGAACGTTTTTTCGATAGAACTTCCTTCGCACCAAAAGTATAATGAAACATATTTAGCATTTTCGAGTTGCGTCTTTTCTTCACACAATTTTGTGATGACCAAATCAACATTTACAATCAACACGTTGGACTTTTGCAGTGTAACTAATACTAAAAATAACTGTATTGTATCTTCAAAATTATCTGCGAAAATCAAGTGAGCCGTCCCATCAATTTTTAATGATTAACAATTTACCATGCTTACAATAACTTTAAAACTGATCTGCAAGATCTCAAAGTATTCATTTCTGCAACTCTTGAGTTATTCAATAAAATAAATTGACTGATCCATATATTTTTTTAAGTCACTGTAAAAGCAAATCTAAATACTTGGTCAAAAGAGTTTAGTCCGTTTTTATTATCCATGCTTTCGATTAATTTTTACATATTACAGTATTTACATTTATACTTTCCTGTGAAACTGTAAATGTAGAAGTTCAGTGTATAGAGGCAGGGATATCGGCACTCTGTTTACCAAACATATAAAACGCAAAATAAAAAGGTACTCTATTGTGTGGGCCATAAATTACAGCTTATCGCCTTAGCTACTATATTGGGTTGCCTAAATTACCAAAATTTGCCCGAAATTCATTTCAGTTTTTGTACTAAAAGAAGTAAAATTTTAGAAGAAAACTAAGAACGGAGCCTAAAGTATAAAAAAATTCTCTGTCACCTCGATATTTTTTAAAAGCACACCGAGTTACAGTTTTCGCTGAAAATGGACTCTTGTTTTACGCACTTTAGTTTTTATTTCAAAACACTTCCTTAAACATTTTTATGTCATGAGCATGTACATGTACGGCCTTCTCTTCAACTGTTAAAATGAAGGCGCAAAATGATTCAGTGTTTTGCCTTATTTTGACATCTTTTAACGACTGTGTGGAGAGAGCTTTAAGCAAAATTTTTACCGCAATTCGGTCACATGCTTTCTAGCGTTCTTTGATCATTAAATATTACGAGTATAATAACAATAACTTGTTCGTTATCTTTCTTATAATCCTAAACTGTTCACAGTTGTGATCATTGCATTAAAAATAAAATAAATGTGTAAGACAAAGAAATAGTTTTTATTGTTTTTGGCTATTTATTTACAAAAAAAATATATAATAATAAATAATAATTAATTAAACAAAATTTTATGATAAAAAAAACACAATAGACATGGGACATTTCCAATAATAATAATCGGCAACAGTTATCGACGTCCGATCCACTTGCACTCTTCCCACAACTCCCAGATATTTTTGTAGCACCGGTGGCAAAGGGGCCCATATCTTGGACACTCCAGGGTTGCTCGTTGAGGAACCTCGGCGTCGCAGCACAGTGAGCACCACCTTTTGTCGTCGGTGAGTTTCCTAGGAGTGGGTAACTCCAGGAAATTTTCCATTCTAGAACTAAACCAAAGGAATTAGATCGAAAACTAGAAAACCTAAATTTTACTTACCGATGATATGGTTGTGTGTTGTGTGCATCAGTGGCTGCTGCTTGAAGATGTATTTTTTTGCAACAGTCGTGGCAGTGACTTGTCGGAGTGTATAACTGCGGAGAATTTTCCATGCTGAACTGTGTGAAGAAGCTGTGCTCTCGACGACTAATGGAACTATGAATTTTACGTGCAAATTTTTCCGTTTTTATAGGGGTTGTAGAAGGAGAGTAGGGGTTGTACAGGTAAAGTAGGAGTGATAGGAAAAGAGGAGGGGTTGTACAGGTGTAGAATGTATGCAAGAGTGCTTATTGGAAACCCTTAATCGTTTAGGATTATGATAATGGTAATTTACAACCCTGAACACCCGATTGCTTATCTCAAAGTAACGAAGGTTCTAAGAATCAGATGTGCATTATGGTGTTTTAGATTATTTTGTTTTTATAAATGGCATATTTAAGCTTACTAAGGGGCTCCACATTTTTGTTATTAACACTAGCAGAATTTGAAATTTTTAGAAATAGATATGATATGTTTTTTTAAAAGAAAGATAAGGATCAAAGGGGCCCCTGAGATTTTTTTAAATTCTTGAAAAAAACATACAATGAATCTCTAAAATTTTTTTAACTTTTGTAGAAAGAGACAAATGGGTAGCCTGAGATTCTTTAAGATTCATAAAAAAAACAGAAGGGGCCTCTGAGATGCTCTACAAATCTTTGAAAATACGCACACAAGAACAGCGCCTGGTATTCTTTCACAGTATTTAAAATATTGACTCAAGGGGCTCTTGAGATTCCTTATGATCCACAAAAAAATATATATAGAAGGAACCCCTGACAGTTGATTGTTTCACCTTCTATAAAAAAATTGTCGAAGGTTGTTTCGACAGAACTTTTCTCGCCCCTAAACTACACACTACGAAACATATACAGCATTTTCGAAAAAATATGAAATTAGATTTTACGAATTTTATTTAATTTTTTTTTCAGGGTTAACGTTACGATTTTTATGCGCTGAGATATCTCAGGTTACTAATCAATCCAATATTTTGTTCCCGCATTCTGAAAATTGGGACTTTCAATGCATTTTCATAATGTAACATTTCCATTACTAGTATACACATGTCGTTGAAATTTGAAAGATAAGCTGTCCACAACTTTCTCTAAAAGGTACTGGTTCAATTCTAAAAAATAATGCACCATTTGCTTTAAATAAGAACCATGTTTGTGCTGAAAAAGCTGGTTTCGCTGTATCTCTTTTTCGGTAAATATAATCAAGAGTTTCATCCGGGACGTAACTAGAGTTTACTAATGGAAAAACATAGACGACAAGCACACTTGAGAATTTTCGTAAATAAGTGAGATATTAGCTTTAATAGATTTTCGATGAAAAATTTGGGCAAAATTTTAAGATTTACAATGTGCTGTTAATAGTTGGCCACAAACCTCATAAACTAAACCCTTGTTGAAGATTTATAATGGGAAAGTACGGACGGTTTATTTTACGAGGATCTGGTAAGTAGGGTGTATGCACTTTCTTCAACCCTACAGTTGCCAGCCGAGAAATTATTCTACAAGTATTATGTATCACATATCGACTTGGGGAGGAAGTAATTTTAATAATGTGCTCACCCGCTACCAGGCCTTTATACTATTTATTTTTATAATGTGTACTTGGTTTACAGTTCTCTCATAACCAATTAGTATTAATTTAACTGCTTTGTGCATATCAAAGATTAAAAAATGAAGTCGTTTTCTATTAAAGTAGTTTGTAAAAGGATATTAAAAAAATTGTAGATTTTAGTATTAAAAAAAGACTAGTACCATTTAGAAGAACTCAGTTTCAATAGATACCAATAAAACCAAAAAATTTTATACAACTGAAATAAAAATTAACGCGTATTGTCCGCGCTTTGAACAACGAGGGAAATTCTGTTTATGAACAGATTGTTATCATGCATATGAATCTAGAATGTTATAGTTAATTCCCATATTCATTCAACGACGGATTGTACTATTTTCTACAAGCATTCTCTTTTGTACAAAAATTGATTGGGTAATTTTTTATTTTATTTTTGTATAATTTGTAGGACGCTAATTTTATATATATTTTTATATTGTACATATATTATTATTGTTATTGTTCAAAGTGTTAAAGTTTTATTAAAAACTTGTTTCACCAGAACTTCCCCTCTTTGTTCTTTTTTATTTCTCGAGCGTAAGCTAAGGAAGTATAGTAATCGAGTCCGTCGGACGAAATGCCACTTTTATGTTTTCTCAACGCTTCATGACCCCTACAGTACGAAAAAGTAGTCCCCCGTTTCCGTCTGTCTGTCTGTCTGTCTACCTGGTGTCTGTAACCATTTATATTAGACAAGTAATTTCCGAAACTGCTGGACCGATTGTTGTCAAATTTTGTAGGTATATTAGAAATAGAAGGTAGATGTTTAAGAGGAGTTCAAAGCAAAAGTAACTGTAAAATCCGTTTGAGTCTGACAAGCTGTCAGTAGTGTTAACCACCTACCCTGAGTGTCGTATAATCATTAGGATAATTTACAATGTTGCCTGCTGCCGATGGCAGCTTTCGGATTATGGCCAAGTAAATTTTATTTTATCTAGTCTGTGCTCCGAAGTTTCTAGCAGCCGAATAGATGATTGTATAATGAATAAATAATAACAATAAATAATTAATTCTAATTTTCTGCGTTGTTAAACGTAAAAATAAACACAAATAGATAGATAACACATATTTGAAAACATTTAATAATTACAAAATTCATGCTTGATTTGACGTTTTCGTGAACTTTTTGCAGCAAAAATATTTATGAGAGTGGAAACATTATTTTAAATGCATTTTGTCAAAATGTACTCTATTTTGACTAATTTATTACGAAAAAAGTTATGCGCTTGTCAAAACAATTGGTCGAAAGTTGTTACGACAGAACTTCCCTCGCTCTTGAAGTACAATGAAACATATACAGCATTTTCGAGTTGAGTTTTTCTTTACACAATTTTGTGATGACATCATCAACATTTTTGCAAGGACACGTAGATTAACTTGGAATTGTGCAGATTATTACTAAAAATAACACTAATGTATTCTCAAAATTTTCCGGGAAAATGGAGTGATTTAATCAATAAAATAAATTGTCCCATTCATTTTTTTTCGAGCCACCTCTTAAACAAATCCAAAAAATCACAAGTAAAAACTCATATTTTCCACAGATATATTTTGGTTAACAATTTACCATGCTTACAATAAATTTAAAACGTCTGCATTTGTCTTTTTTAACAAAAGACAAAAAAATGTCAGAGGGTCATTGTATGTTTTTCTTAAGAATTTAAAAAAGTCTCAGGGGCCCCTTCCGTCCTTATCTTTCTTTTAAAAAAGCATATCATATCTATTACTACTCTTTTTCTATCACTCCTACTTTCATCCCCTATAGAAACGGAAAAATTTGCACGTAAAATTCCATTAGTCGTCGAGAACACAGCTTCGTCAGACAATTCAGAATGGAAACTTCTCTGCAGTTGTTTACTCCGACAAAAATCACGGACTCCTGGTGTTCGGTTTGCTGCCACGCCGAGGTCCCTCGTCGGGCATCATTGTATTGGGGAAATCAAGGACCCATTTGCCACGACTGCTACAAAAAAATACAGCTTCAAGCAGCAGCCACTAAGGCAAAATTTAGGTTTTCTAGTTTCCGATCTAATTCCTTTGGTTTAGTTCTAGAATGGAAAATTCCTTGGGGTTACCCATTCCCAGACAACTCACCGACGGTGACACGTGGTGCTCACTTTGCTACGACGCCAAGGTACCTCATCGAGCAACCCTGGAGTGTCCAAAATACGGACCCCTTTGCCGCCAGTGCTACAAAAATATCTGGGAATTGTGGGAAGAGTGCAAGTGGATCGGACTTCGATAACACTGTTGCCGATTATTATTATTGGAAATGTCCCATGTCTATTGTGTTTTTTCTGTATCATAAAATTTTGTTTAATTAATTATTTATTATGATATATTTTTTTTAAATAAATATCCAAAAACAAAAGAAAGTATTTATTTTTATTGCAATGAACAGTTTAGGATTATAGGAAAGATAACGAACAAGTTATTGTTATTATAGTCGTAATATTTAATGATCAAAGAACCCGCAGAACCCTAGAGAGCGTGGTGGGATTTGGTGCGATGTAAATTTTGCCCAAATATTAGGCACTCAGGAATAAGGACAATTTTGACCGAATTGGGGTAAAAATTTTGCTTAAGGCTCCTCCACACAGTCATTAAAAGATGTCAAAATAAGGCAAAACACTGAATCATTTTGCGCCTTCATTTTAACATTTGGAGAGCAGGGCTATACATATACATGCTCATGACATAAAAATGAAAATAAAATAAAATAAAATTATACATATGTTGTAAAACTTATTCAATATTTTTACCTGAAAACCTCACTTGCTAAAGAAATGTGAACAACGCCCAAAAAGGGAATTAGTATATTTATCTGAATTTTTGCGAAGCTGGAAAAGCGAACGAGCACATATGTTTGACAGGTTGGAGCGCCCTCTGATGACAAATAGGAGATGAGCTCGTTGTTCAGAGGATGTGATCACCATAAAAATTTGTGTGGAAACGAATACGTCGCATTGCTACCTAGTTAGATAAAGAAAGAGTGTTCGGAGAAGAAGACATAGCACAATCACATGTAAACGAAGTAAACGAAAATTTCTACTTCAACATCTATTCGAAGTGTAACTAAAATATTTCCGTAAATTCTTCAACTGTACATATCCAAACATTGCAATATAAGAAGTAGATACACTATACAGACTCTAATCTTGACGTTACCTACGTACTCTCCTACTACTTAAAATAACATTATAACAAGAAAAAACCTTTGTACAAATTGCAACGACGTTAATCTTAACGTAGTTACAAAAAAATAACATTAAAATTAAATAACATATGTGGAAATAACAAGATTTATGCTAAAATGTTGAAAATATGAACCCCATCTATATTTTTTCTGCATTTAACCAAACGTCTCCTTCCGCAGTTAACACAAGGGAGGTCACTTTCATTTTCAGTGGTTCTATTGTTTTCTTGTTAACTGTGAATTTATAACGTTTGAGAAGAGTAGTTAGCCCCACTTTTGATTGCATTACACCAAAACGTGCACCTGGAACAACATAATCTCAGTTCTAAATGAACCAATGCCGGTTTTTCATTTTTGCATACCTATACAATTCCTAGGTCCTTCGCCAAACGGAATGTGCGCATAACGGTGCCTTTTACTCTTATTCTCTTCAGTAAATCGATCGGGATCGAATTTCTCTGGATCTGGGTAGAATTCCTTATCATGATGAATACCAAAAACTGGGACAAAAACCATAGTACCTTTTTCTATCATCACATCTTGGCCTGGAACTTTATAGTCTTTAACGCACTTTCTGGTTATCAAGGCCACCGGCGGGTATTTCCTCAAGCTTTCATTTATTACTTGATCCATATACTTCATGTCCTGGATAGCTTCATAAGTAATCTCTCCATTATGTTTTGCCAAAACGCTATTAATTTCTTCTCTGAGTTTATCTTGTATATCTTGGTGTTTCGCAAGCTCATAGAGAGCAAAAGTCATGGTCGCGTTTGAGGTTTCAAATCCCGCGACAAAGAAAGAGAAACTTTGGGCAGCGATTTCATCAAGAGTTAATGTTTTGTCGTCATACTTGTCACCTCCTGTCGCAAGTTTGTTACCTTTGATATCAATCAGCAGTTGCATGAAGTCTTTGCGACTGTAGTTGTGTTTCTCTCTGTAGTTAACAGTGTCTTTGACAAGCTTAATGAAGAAGTTAGCAATGTCAGTAGGAATCACCGTCACACCTAACTTCTTTGCGATATTAGGAGATTTTATAGCAAAAATTATTTTCAGTAATCTGAGAATATTCCGCTCAAAAAATTTCCTACTGTATTTTCTAAAAAGGGAATCTTCTCCTTTGAATGTGCTAAATTCTAGACCAAAGGCGCACGTCCCAATTATGTTAGTAGTGAAACATTCAAGGATCTCTTTTATATCAATTGATACATTGGCCACACGATCTACCTCAATTTTTGACAAGAAATTAGGAACACAGTCCACCAGCGTTTGAAACATCATCTTCATTTTCTCGGAAGTGAAAGTTGGAGCGACTTTAGCTCTCAAATTTCGCCACTTTTCACCACCTATGGCAAACAAATGGGCACTTAGAGGGTCAGCGTCTTCGTTACAGTACAGTCCCCGGTCTACGAAATGGTCAAAGTCCTTTGTCAAAATATTCTTCAAGTAGTCTAAATCTACAACCATGTACGCACAGGTTAAGACTGAGAAAACTCCTCCGTGTTTCCATCCCTTAGCTTTCAATTGGTCATAAATACGTGCTGCTTCTATAGCTGAGTGCAATTTGCGTTTAAATGGGTTGCTTCCGTTACCCCATGGAATGGTTGGTTTAATATAGGGCACTTTTTTACGTTCCCAGTACTGGTAGGTCCATTTAAAGTAGGTTAAAAGGATGGTAACTACCCCAACAGAAATGGCGATGGCATTACCGACGAAGCAATCGCAAAGCATTTCTGCAAACAATAAAACAAAATACTTAACAGCAAACTCGATAGAACTAGTGTGTACATACTACTTATTTATACTATTTTAAATTGCTATATCATACTTGTTATATGATATGATTATATAGATAAACTTTTTTTTTAATTTTGGAAAACCTAAAATAGATACACTAAGTTAGGAATAAGGTACTACAGAAAATGCAGCAATAATCTGATAAAATAAGGCTGATTCAATGTGTTATTTTAAGCAAAATCATTGTTTTCTTATTGGAACATATCTTTCAAATATATTAGTGGAATTCCGAAGATAATTAAAAAAATTGGCTTCGATAAAGATTTGGCTAAAGTTAATTCATTGAGAAACCGCAGCAAAACAGAGATAAATAAAGAGAAAATGAGATCAAACAAATCGAAAAAATTTATGGAAATATTATATTACAAAGAAAAATTTTACAAACATGCCCGGAATTATTTTCTTAAAAAAGGAGTTGACCTGGCTCAGCAAATTGTTGACAACTTTGCAGAGTTCTTTAGTTCCCTAGTAAATGGAAAGTACCAAAAGTTATTCCCGTTCACAAATGAGCCTGGAAATAAGGTAGAATCTTATAGGCCTATCGATTTAATCGCTAACTTCGCTAAGCTGTTTGAATCCATATCGTCTAAAAATTTGTGTAGTCACATATCTAGTAAATTAATATAGTCAGCATGGTTTTGTTCAGCATAAATCAACGACTACTCGTCTATGTGATTTCGTCCAGTATATAACCAATGCTTTAGAATCCAAAGTGCAGGTGGATGTGATTTATATTGACATTTCCAAGGCGTTTGATGTTGTTAATAACACTGGTCAACAGCTAAACTCTAACTTTTATTATAACAGCCAATTATTATTTAATTCACAATTTTAAATGATATTATAAACGGCTAAATCCAAACTTAGCTCTCATTTAAAAGTAATCTTCAATATTATCCTTTGAAAAATACAAAAATCGTACTATTAAGTAATAGGAAACTTTCTATAAGGTGTATTTTTTTGTGATCAAATTGCTACAAACTTCTTGGGAAACAATAAGAAAACTACGTTTAGTAAGTAGAAAACATATTATCATCATATAAAAAATTTAAAATTAACATATTCTTAAAAGTGCATTTTATGTATTATTTATGCGATTATAATCGCATTTTACTGCATAAATTACGATCTGTTGGTGTTTGCGATAATTTGATTCAATAGTTTTCTTCATTTCTGTCTGACAAAGCACAGTTTGTAGAGCTACGGGGCTACGAGGCTACGGAGGTTCTAAGATCTACTCTACTCCTAGTGAAGTTACGCAGGGGTCTAATCTTGGACCAACATTATTCCTCCTTTATTTAAATGATTTGTTATCACTAGACTTCGGATCTTAGGTTATTTTACCGTTAGAGACCTAAAGTGTTAATTAAACGACCTAATTGTCAATTTTAAAAGACTTAAAATAGGATTCCACGACCAACGAAGCGGACGTGCTCGCACAATAGAGATTTGCCGTGAATTCATTGTTTGGCTGCAGGTTGTTTAAAAATGGGTTGTAAACAACGCCCCCGAGTTTAATGGTACGGGTTGGCGTCGCCAACTGACAACGCTGGCCTGCATTTCATTTAGACTCTAGCCGGAAGGCGGTGAATCTTTGAAAAAGTATTTTATTTTAGAAGTTTATTGTTAGTGATACTGAGTGTCTTTGCGTGTCAGTGAGTGTACTGGGGACGGTTTTGATTTTTGTGCATACAGAAAAAAATCCTCAAGATGCCTAACGTAAAATCATCCATGAAAGACAAAATCAAATTATGGTTAGGGAATAATTTGGACACTAATTTTCAATTTTCTTTAAAGACAATGAGTTATTCTGTAAAGTGTGTGGAAAAGTTGTAAGTAAACATTTAAAATACTGAAGCTTGAATTATGTCAGATTTTTGTTTCCTAGTTTAAGTGCGAAAAAAAAATCACACTTTGAACAACACTGCAGTGGCGATGCACATAAAAACAACGAAAATAAATCCAGTAAACAGACTTTATTAAACATTAGTTCCGACAATGATTTTACGCAATTTTGCACCGATTTATGTAAGGCATTTACCGCAGCAAATATTCTATGGAATAAAGTTAGTTGTCCTGAGTTTAAAAATTTTATGCATAAATATACAGGAAGGCATTTATCCTCAGAAAGCACTCTGAGAAAAAAATGTTTACCAAAAGATTACGATATGGTGAACACTAGAATTTTTATTTAAAAACGTTTTAACATAAATTTTATAATTTACAGGTAATTAAACAAATTAGAAATTGTATTGGCAATAATAATATATGGATCAGCGTCGATGAGACGACGGACAGATTAGGAAGATACATAGCCCATTTAGTAATTGGAAAGTTATCTTCTGAAGAAGCTGGCCGTCCATTTCTACTAGCTTTGAAGCAGCTTGATAAAACTAATAGCAACACAATCTCGAGATTTATTAACGAATCATTGGGTGTGCTATTGATAATTTTAAGCAATGAAATTATTATAATTTATTTAATTGTTTGTTATTTGTAGGTAGCTTTATTGTGGCCAAAAGGAACTGAACACAAAAAACTTAAATAGTTTGTATCAGATTGTGCTTCATACATGATCAAAACTGGTACTAATTCGAAGTTGTTTTACATTTAACATGTATGGTACATGGGTTACATTTAGTGTCTGAAACAATTAGACTGAATTATCCAGATGTCAATGGGATAATTAGCAATGTTAAGAAAATCTTTTTAAAAGCACCAATAAGAATAAAGTTTTATAAAAACAGTTTACCAAATATACCTCTCCCACCTGAACCTGTATTAACCAGGCGGGGCACTTGGATTCAAGCAGCATTGTTTTATGCAGAACACTTTGATGTTTTAAAACAAGTCAGTAAATATATAATGGTTCTTTTTACTATCATTCTTATATTGAATATTTTTAGGTTGTAATGTCATTTGAAGCCACAGATGCACAAAGCATTAAAAAAGCTTAAGAATTCCTGAATAAAGCAAACGTTAAAAATGAACTCTTGTACATTAAAACTCACTTTAAAATAATTGCTGATGCAACAGAACAATTAGAAACTATAGGTTTAAAATGAAACAAAGTATGGAAACTGTGGAAACAGTGTGTACATCTTTAAAAAACACACCAGGAAAGGTGGGGGAAATGGCGTTCCAAAAATTATGTTCTCTATTAAAAAAGAATCCAGGATACGATTTTATATGTTCAGTAAATAACGTAATTTGCGGTAATGGAAATGCCACCAACAATACATGCATAAATGAAAACGTAGATTGTTCAATATTTAATTTTGCACCCATCACTTCTTGTGATGTGGAACGCACGTTTTCAAAACTTAAAAGTGTTTTAAGCGATCAAAGGTGTAAATTTACATTCGAAAATTTAGAGAAATATATAGTTTGCTTTTCTAACTCATTTTAAATAGCTGAATTAATATTTTATTTTTTGTTAAATGCGACTTGCTTTAATTTGATCCCCATTTTTTTGCGATAACTTAAAATTAGTGGACGTAACTATAGATCGTTTGTTTATTTAATCATTTTTTTTGTTTGTTACACAAAATATTTGTTTCTATAATGTTTTGTTTAATGTTTTTTTTTTTAATATGTATATATTTTTTTGATGTATGCTTTTTCGTTGAGCAAATATTTTTTCCTCCAAGTTTTTAACCTAAACTAAGATTTTTATAACATAATTCGTCAATTTTGGGACCTAAAAATGTCTCCTTTTATTCATTTTTTAACGACCTAAAATCCGAAGCTTAGTTATCACAATTCAAGTGCCCCATTTATGTGTAAGCCGATGATTTCAAGATAGAAGAACGTTTGCCAACATTATATTCTCGTTTAAATTGATACACGAATATATTCAGTGTAGTAGCTTACTTGGTATGATAGACTTCCATCTACCACGACTGAACTATCGTCACCTTAATACTTTTTCAATCACCGCCTGCAGGACCAATCAGCATTATTACTCGCCTCTAAGTAATAGGTGCCAGTGTTATGATGACATCTCATCAAAGGTGGATATTTTTATTGATAAAATAAATTCCTTTCGTTGTTTGTGCTTAGCTGCCCTTGAGAAATAATTACATTTCTAAGTGTCTAGTGAACAAGATATGTTTTTATTATTAAATAGATTATTATATCTTAAATTGTTCTTGTATAATGGATGAATTTATGTTATCCTCCAGGCAACCAACTATGCAGATGCGTGTGGTACTTGTCTTGCATGCATGCTTGGGCATTTAGTAAAATCCATATAAAGTGAGAGGTGGGCCGCTTTCACGACCTGCTTCGATCCTATAATAATGTCTAGAAATCCAGTATTATTGCAAGGAATATTCTAGGTGACAAAAAAGTTGCTTCGAAAAAACCAAAAATCTCTGAAAATGCAAGCAATATAAAGTTGCTGACAAAATTCAATGTGTCCTTAAAGCAACTTAAGACCAACAGCTCTGATTGGAATAATTGAATACATATATTTTTTCTTTGCCAGGAATTACGAAAGAATATCTCGATTTTAAACATAGTTCCGATATGGTCTGAAATATCGTGGTTCCTATTGTAGTTGAAATATTTTTCCTCTATATTGGTTAAAAAATTATCTAGACATGTATTCAAGTGGGTACATTCACGTACAGTATAAGCCAATTTGGGGAACTCAAGCAAGTCTGAAAAATCCGTAAGTATTTTTTCTTTGATTAGAAATTTATATTGAAATTTCCAGTAAGAATTACACGTCAAGAAACGCAAACATTCGCAACAGTGTTATTCGTAACACTCAAGAATATCTGCAAATCACTTACCCTTAGTAATGTCTTCTTTTGGTGTTACAATTCACTTTCGCAAGCACAGTATATGCTGAACTTCAAAAAAAAAAAAATTATGTCAATACACATCGATTATCTACATTTTCCGAATCACTCGCAGAGGGTTTTTTAGGTTTAGGTCCAATTTGAAATTAATTAATTAGCAAAACTACTAACAAGTATACAAAAGAATCCACATAAAAAAGTTTCGCAATTGCGCTAATCTCACAATACGAATAAACACTCAAATATTTCACTGCAGTTTATTTATATAATCTAAACAGGATGTGATAACTCGATTAGGGCATAACAGTCATTACCTAATTGATACTAGAGTCTGTTGTCTGTGCATCACGATGAACACAGTTAATAATCACGTGCAAATGAAGTGTAGGAAAACTGGGCGTCGAAAATGTCGTCTCTCTTCTTCAACACCCACCGAATTATCCTCTTCCTATCCTCTCAAATAGATCCCGCTTTGTGTGTTTTCAAAATGTTTCTGTAATATCTTCAACTGTGCCCTATATGTGAGAAGTTAAGTATTGTCTATCAAAATTTTTCAAAAGGACATCATTGTTGTGTCAGTTTATATGTAGTTGCACTATCTTCTTGGAAATATCCTTCTCTAGATTAATATGTATCGTTGAAAACCACACGATGTGATTATTGAAGTGATTTTTCAGGTTAATTATTGACAAGGTTACCGATTTATTACTAAATTCGAACATCACAGAATTAGAAAAATTACATTGATACATTATGTATTGTAAAACAAAATATAGCAAGAAAAATATCTGTATGTAAGCCAAAACGATGCTAACCTTAGATTTAAAATAAGAGCCCTCGTTATACTTTTTCCGCATCTAACCAAATTTCTCCTTCCGCGGCTAACACAATAGAGGTGATCTTCATTTTGAGTGGTTGTATGGTTTTCTTGTTGACTGTAAATTTGTAATGTTTCAGTATAGTAGTTAATCCCACTTTTGACTGCATTAGACCAAAACGTGCACCTGCAACAACAAAATTTTAGCATTGGTTTACCAAACCATATATTTTTTGTCAAACCTATACAAATCCTGGGTCCCTCTCCAAACGGAATGTGAGCATAATGGTGCCTTTTACTCTTATTATCTTCAGTAAATCGCTCCGGATCGAATTTCTCTGGATCCGGATAGAATTCTTTATCGCGATGAATGCCCAGAACTGGAATGAAAATCATAGTACCTTTTTCTATTACCACTCCCTCTTCTGGAATTTTGTAATCTTTGACACATTTTCTGGTTAGGAAAGCCAGAGGCGGGTATTTCCTCAATGTTTCATTTATCACTTGATCCATATATTTCATGTCTTGGATGGACTCGTAAGTAATCTCCCCATTATGTTTAGCCAAAACGGTATTAATTTCATCTCTGAGCTTATCTTGTATATCTTGGTGTCTTGCAAGCTCATATAGAGCGAAAGCCATGGTCGTGGAAGAAGTTTCAAATCCCGCGATAAAAAAAACGAAACTTTGAGCAGCGATTTCATCAAGAGTTAACGTTTTGCCGTCATACTTGTTCCCTCCTTCGGGCGCAAGTTTGTTACCCTTGATGTCAATCAGCAGTTGCATGAAGTCTTTGCGACTGTAGTTGTTTTTCTCTCTGTAGTGAACAGTGTCTTTGACAAGCTTAATGAAGAAATTCGAAATATCATTCGGAATCACCGCCAGACCTAACCTTTTCGCAACGTTAGGAAAATTAATTGCCAAAAGATTTTTGAACACTACGAGTCTATCACGATCAAAAAATTTTCTACCGTATCTCCTGAAAGGGGAATCGTCGTCTTTGAATGTGTTAAATTCTAAACCAAAGGCACACGACCCAATTATGTCAGTGGTGAAACATCCAAGAGTCTCTTTAATATCAATTGGTGCTTTGGCCACACGATCTGCTTCAATTTTTGACAAGAAATTAGGGATACAGTCCACCAGGGTTTGGAACATCATCTTCATTTTCCCGGAAGTGAAAGTTGGGGTGAATTTGGTTCTCAAATTTCGCCACTTTTCGCCACCTATGGCAAACAAATGGGCACTTAGAGGGTCAGCGTCTTCGTTGTAGTACAGTCCCCGGTCCACAAAATAGTGAAAGTCCTTTGTCATAATATTCTTCAGGTAGTCTAAATCTATAACCAAGTACGCGGGAGTTAAGACTGAAAAAAGTCCTCCGTGCTTCCATCCCTTGGCTTTCATTTCTGCATACAAACGTGCTATTCGTATGCCCGAGTTCTCTTTGCGTCTAAGTGGACTGCTTCCGTTGCCATATGGAATTGTCGGTTTGAAGTAGGGAACTTTTTTTCGCTCCCAGTACTGGTAGGTCCATTTAAAGTAAGCTATGAGGGCGGTAACTGCCACGGCAAGAATAGCGATGGCATAACCAACGCAGGAACCGCAAGACATTTCTGCAAACAATAAAATAATTGACTGTATAAGGAAATTATTTATTTCAAAATTGAGTCGTACCTGACAATTAATTCTCACTATTAGCACACGCTGTTCACTTAAATGCAACGGCAATACTAGTGTGTACATATTTATACTATTTTAAGTTGCTATATCATCGTACTTGTTATATCACCTAATCAAATAGATAAACTGTTTTTTTCTGTTTTGAAAAAACGTAGTACCGATAGACTAAAATAGAAGTAAGTTACTATAGAGAATGTAGATATTTAATAACAACGTGATAAAATAAAATCAGTTACTGTGTGTGTTGTTTAAATATTTAGCATAGCGAAACAACATAGCCATTTATATTTCATTTGAGAATTCATTATAGGAAAATGAGTGTGTGACTTGAAAATGAGTCGTTTTAAAAATCGCGAAATACGATAACATAGGCAAAAATAATTATATTATAAAGGTAAACACTTTTGAAAGATATAAATAGGCAGTAAAATTGAATGCAGTTATAATTCACTGATAGTAGCGATAATGATTAAAGAAATTATCTCTTCAACTATAATCAATTTCAAGGTTTTCGTATGCGTTTTAAAAATTCAATTTTCACAAATTTCCATGTTCCAGGAAATAAGCTATAGATTTCGAATGCATTACTCAGACATGCATGACGAGGCAAATATGTATAATAAATAACACAAGTTGGTCTCCGTCTCAGTTCTAAAGATTAAATTTTATTTTATTGATTTAATATGACAACAAAAACTAATTTTTAACAGTTCTCAAAAAACTTTATCCACATATAGATGACTGTCAGTAATTTATCAATTATCATGCAATTTGAGAATTACCAGTAAAATTTTGATCTTCATTTAAATGTTAAACTGGAAACCTGAAGGATCATACATAGGATTTTTGAATATTCTTCAATTATTATTTCTTCACCACTGCCCTTATGAACTACGATCGTGTATTCAATGGAGGAATATTTTCATTGTTATTAATTCTAGTAATCAGTCGCTAAGTTAGACCTTTGTGGGCCAGGCCCAAAGTAGTTGGGTGCAAACAAATAATGTAAGCTTGTAAAATGCATCTAACATCTGGGAGAAGAAGCAGAAATGTGGCAAAAAGTGCTAGAAAGTCCAGAGAATTTAGTAATCAATATAGTCAGACTGGAAGAAGGATGAATACACCACAGATAGCATGAGGCTATAATTGGTGGATTCAAGCCCATCCATTCAATATCGTAAAACTTCGCAATGTGCCAAATAAATATAAATATATAAATACACTACACGTTTCTTATCTATTAACAAACACCACTTAACATGTCATAAATCAATATATTTTTATATCGTAAATGCAATCCATTACAAGCGTCACTTTATGAAAGAGTAAACACTTAAAACTATTCATAAATAATAGTAGTTATTACATTAAATCTTCAATGGCAATAATAATAATGTTTATTAATATCCCAGATAAGTCTACATAGAAACTGGTAGGATTAACAACCACAAAGAAGTGACAATAGAGTTTAATCACAGACTACACAGACAAGCCACATACCCACTTTGAGCGAACGTGACCCTTATTGACGACTTACCTCAACCGTCACTTCATACGCGCGATTTTTAAACGCGAGGACTGCCACTTTACAACACAATCTCGGATAAAAGCCAACATAATGTTAAAAAAATACATCAGCAGAAGTCATATTATGTTTAACTTACTAAAACAATAAAGGCGTTCGTACGTACGTTCATAGTCAAAAAAAAAACATGAACAAGCTAAAAAATTTATGAGTGCTATTAATTAAATTTATACATTTTTTAAAAGTGAGTGAATGATTATATTGTATTGTATTGTATTGTGTATTCTGTCGCCGCAGGACTTACAGGAGTGCGTTGCACTTCACACGTCTTGGTCGGACCCATTTTGAGGTTATATGTGGTTATGTTGTCAACCCAAAGCAAGGAGGTTTAAATGTATATATGTACTTATATTCAATATCTCTGACCCGAAGTGTCAAAATTCTAGTTTTTCTAGTTAGATTCTCCTAAAAGTTTCCACTAAACAGGATAGCCACTACAGTATTTTGCAAATTTTTAAGCGGAATCAAGGTCATCCTTACCTAAACCGTCATTTTCCTGTGTTCAAGGGCAAAATAATTGAAATAGACTGTTTGGACTCTTGAATTAAAGACTATATTCGTTTGTCAGTGGTGGGGCAGTGGCTTGTCTGTGTAGTCTGTGGTTTAATCCTAACGAAGCTTCATTAGATAGGTAGATGCGAGTAAAGTTTTTGTTTTGTTTTTTTACGGAAATATATAACTTACATAGGTACATAATTGCTACTTAAATTTCTGTTTACATAATAAAGATAATAATATCAACAATGAGAATAAGGATTTAAATTTGTTGTATAAAAATTGTTATGAAACTGAAAAGATTGTTTCTTAAACCCAGTTTTAATCTGTTATGACATATTATACAACGTGACGAACAACGAACAAACACTCCTGGAGTTGGGGACATAATTAATCAGTTTTGAATACGAAAAAATGGGTCTTCCGTTTCCCTCTGTCCGCCTTCTGTGTCAAATTTTGTTGTGGAATGTGTGTTACGAATATCATGTAGGTAATAAAACATTAACCACTCTTTGTCAAATCATCTTCACCGACAATGTAGTAACCTCAGTTCCAAATTTTACATAGTAAATGGGTTTTAAATTGTACAAAATAATATAGTCCTGCACGTGTAGCTTATGAATCCGTATTGAGTTTTTACAAGAAACGTCCAGATTTTTAGACAAACAATCAAAATTATACGATATAACAATATTGTTACGATGATCGGTGGTTAAAAATCGGCGCGGATAAAACTCAGCAATTTATTTCTCAATAACTCTAATTTACACGACTAATTACCCAGCTATTATGTACAAAGTAATTCCGACGCAACTTACTGGATTCTCTCTTGACTGAATTGACTGAATAAACGAATCGGTTCCGAAAGTGGCCTCTATTTAAACCCTTTCTACCCATAGCGAATTCCGCTTCCAGGCTTGTCTTTAGCGAACGCCGCCCGTCACCCATCATCGCCGTAATTACTACAAAACTCTATGGGAGTTGTAAGCACTCAAGTAAGTTAGGTTATGACATTGTTACAACTATAATTGGAAATTTAATTAAATTTGTTTTACACATTTCTTGATGAGACTTGTAAAAGATAGCAAAAAATGCACGGATATTATTATAAGGAAAAATTGACGACAAACATAAAGGCATTATTAATGCTTAAAAGAAAGATTTTTTATATATTAAGGCAAATGCGACACTAAGGACTGTGTTTTAAGCCATGAGGATTATTTTGATTATCTTCACTTCACATCTGCCATTTACATATGAGTATTATTATTATTACTCATTATTTTTTAACACTAACAAAATGTTTCTAAAAACTTAAACTTTTTCAGCACTTAACCAAATTTCGCCTTCCGCCGTTATCACTCCACTAGTTGGTTTTATCTTCAAAGGTTCCATGGTTTTCTTGTTAACCGTAAATTTGTAATTTTTGAGCAAAGTAATTAAACCAACTTTAGATTGCATAAGCCCAAAGCGCATTCCTGCAAAAATCAACAAACACCAAACACGATTTTAAAATACAAACTAAATTATATTTTTACCTATACACATTCTGGGACCTTCGCCGAACGGTAGATGCGCGAATTGATGTCTTTTACTCTTATTTCCTTCAGTAAATCGGTCTGGATCAAATTTTTCAGGGTCTGGGTAGTATTCCTTATCGTAATGAATTGCATAAACTGGTATTTCAACCATAGTACCTTTCTCTATAATCACATCCTGGTCAGGAATTTTGTAGTCTTTAACACACTTTCTGACTAAACGTGGCGCCGCTGGGTACTTCCTCAACGTTTCATTAATCACTTGATCCATATATTTCATTTCTTGAATTGCTCCGTAGCTAACCTCACCATTAAACCTACCAAGCACTACATTTATTTCATCTCTTACTTTATTTTGGATATCTTGATGTGTCGCGAGTTCATATAAAGCAAAAGTCATAGTAGTAGACGATGTTTCGAACCCAGCAATGAAGAAGACGAAGCTTTGGGCCGCGATTTCATCCATCGTTAAACTGGTGCCGTCGTGTTTGTAACCGCTTTCACTGGAAACTTTGTTGTCCTTGAGATCGATTAGCAACTGCATGAAGTCTTTTCGTGTGTGGTTATTTTTCTCTCTATACTCAACAGTTTCTTTAACAACATTAATGAAAAAACTAGAAATGTCTCTAGGCACCACCGGCACTCCTAACTTCTTTGCGACATTAGGAAAACTCGCAACGAAGAATCGATGCAGCAATCTTGACTTAGAACCTTTGAAAAACTTGCGCCCGTACTGCCTAAAAGTCGAATCGTCTTCTTTGAAGCTGTTGAATTCCAAACCAAATGCACACGATCCAATGATATCTGTGGTGAAACATCCCAGTATTTCTTTAATGTCAGTTGGCACTTTTCTCAAACGATCGGACTCTACTTTTGCCAACATACTAGGCACACAGTCCAGCAGGGTTTGAAACATCATTTTCATTTTACCGGAAGTGAAGGTGGGGGTAAGTTTGGATCTCAGATTTTTCCACCTTTGCCCACCTAAGGCAAACAAGTGGGCACTTAGAGGATCAACTTCTTCGTTGTAGTATACCCCACGGTCTACGAAATGGTGAAAATCTTTTGCCATTATGTTTTTGACGTAGTCCAAATCCATCACATAGTAAATAGGTGTTAATGCGGTATATAGTCCTGCATGTTTCCATCCCTTGGTTTTCATTTCGTCGTAGTAGCGTTTCATGGTTAAGGAAATGTGCTCTTTGTTGTTGAATGGACTTGGAATGCTACCAAAAGGTATCACTGGTGGAAGTTGTGGTACATTTTTGCGTGACCAGTACTGGTAGGTCCATTTAAAGTAAGCGAAGACGAGAGTAATCGCTATTATTGTACAACCAATGAAAATTCCGAGGAAAGAATCATACGCCATTTCTACCAACAAATAGAGATTGTTAAACAAAAAATAAAGTAAATTACATGTAATGTACTTAATGAATCGCTCCAGCGCTATACAATCAAGTTAAACATTTGCTACAACTGTCTATTTGCAGACTATTTCTCTGCTTATATACTTTTCCTAATCCTGATAACAAATTTTGTTCGTCATGACGCACTGCAAAATTGTGTGGTTCTTTACGAATAATTTTGCTTATTCTTCGGATTGTCGTTGAATTGAAAAGTATATTGAGTAATAACAACAACAACAATTTTATTTAGCTTGTATATTAAAATGCATATTATTTCAGCACGTCAAATAACAAGAATTATATAATTAAGGTATCATTATGTAATTTGTTATCAACATGAGTCCATGAGTGTTAACAGATCGTTTAGCGAATTTGGACATTCTGAAACGTTCACATCTCTTTTATATTTTGGTGAATTTCTAATACCTACTAGCGAACAAAGTATGTAGCAAGAAAAAGAAAAGAAAAAGAATTGGTGAAGGAAATTATCTTGCATAAAGTGAAAATACTAGGAATTAAGGAAACAAAACAAAAGGTAGACGCATTACAAGAATACATAAAGGACATTTTGGTTGGGTCTAGATCAAAGGGAAGGTGCCAAACAAGTACTAGGATTAATAGTAACCTCAGATAAGTTCCAGAACATAATTAAAGAATGAAACAATATTAAAGATAGAAACGAAGATATTTGATGAAGAACTGTAAACAATGATAATGGCTTGTAGAAAAAGCGAAGATGCAACAAAAGAAACTATGATAATAATGGAAGACTTAAATAGCAGAATAGGAAATCATAATACAGGCATAGAAGATTCTTTGAAAGAAAAGGAGAAGCGAAGAAAACAACTGAGAAAGAATTATTGAAACTTGCACATAAAATAATTTAATAATAATCAACATTACATTCAAACACAAAAACAAGTAATAGATTAGTTTAAAATCAGAAAAAGAAAATGGAAAATGGTAAAAAATGTGAAACTCTAAAGACAAGCAAATAAAGGAAGTAACTACTATTTGGTAAAAATGGACATGATGCAGAATAAAAAAGAAAAAAATACAAAAAAAACGAATAAAACAAAGGACAAAGAGCTATAAACTTAAAAAAACAAAATATCAAGAAAAATATCAATTCAAAAACAACTTACAGGATGCAGGAAGAACTGTGGAACTACAAAGATAGACCATAAAAACAACAAAATGGCCAACCTCAGAAATAAATCAAATAATCAAAAAGAAAGAAGATAGTTGAAAAAGACATATAAATACAAAGAGGCAGAAGATGTGAAACACACAAAGAACAAAACAAAAAAATAAAGAGGACGAAAAAGAAAGGAAAACAAAAATTATGATTAAAATTCGAAGAGAAGACGACCCAAAACTACAAAAAAAACAAGGATGGATACATAATCACACATGAAGAGAAAACAATGTACAGATGACAACAACATTTCTAAAAATTGACGGAGGATGGTGGAGGTGAAGAGGAAGAACATGGGGAGCGCTATGAATCAATCAGAAGAAATAGAAACAATACAGCAAGAACAATTTATTATCAGAAACCATACGAAAGACAAAATGATAAAATATATGGGAGAAAAAATTGGTCCAAAGTTACTTTGACAGAACTTCCCTCGTCCTTGAAATACAGTCCAACGAATTTCGCTACTTCGAAAAATTGTAAAAAAATGCTTTCTGATAACCATTGTATAGTAAAAACCAGTGGTCTAAAATGACATATTCCAAGGAGGTGCCGTCCGCGGACATACGGACAATATGAAATATATTCAGAGAAGTAACCAACGGAAAAGAGTGTATTATTATCACTTATCAGTGTACATGCTTAACTTCGATTGTTTACGTTTATACATCGAAAGAATGTCACGTAGAAATTTGTTAATTTGAATGAGTTGTCTCCTCAAAACAGAGGACTAAAATTATTAATTAAACCAAAATGGAATAAATTGTTTTGGATATGATTACTATTATTCTTATTTGATCATAATTAAATAAAGACGTGGGTATATTAAAATTTTCTAGAAAAAGAGGTTCTTAATTTGATTAAAAAAAAATTGGTCGAAGGCTGTAAGTATAATCCGACAAAATCAGCTCTTTAAAAAAATGATAAAATTTAATTTTATCGCTTTGTGATAACCGCTGTAAAGTAAAAATCAGCGGTATAAATAACACCCCCGCAACCCTTGTGCCGGAGGGACAATCTAAAATATATTTAAAACACATAACTAACGGGATAAATGTCCTTCAGCACTAGGTAAAAGCAATCTGAAAGTCAAGTAGTTATTTATGTCTATACATTGAAAGAATGTCACGTAGAAATTAGTTTAATTCGAATGAGTTTGTCTTCTCAAAACAGACAACTAAAATTATTAATTAAACCACAATCGAACAAAGTGTCATCAATATTGTAATTCATATTTTATCATTATTATAAAAAAAGGTGCGTATTCTTCACATGTTCGAGAAAACTAGGTGACCAATAAAAGGTTTGTGATGCCGTCATCAACATGGATAATACTAGTCACAGCACAAAAAAATAGTCATAGCGTATAACCAATGCAAGAAAAAAAAAAAAAGGGCCAAGTTCGACATCGAACCCATATCGGAAGGTCGTACAGGTTGCCTTCTACCCGATATAGCCACTGCGCCACGAAGACTCATATCCCGTGTTGGTAATGTAACGTTATTATAACTTGCAGGTGTTTTTGCGAAAATTTGAACGTTTAGCGCAAAAACTGAAAGCGGATTCGTGCACTCCAAGTATAACATTCATATCATTTTAAAATATGTTTCAATTAAATGACGTCATCAATTTTTTGGTGGGGATGATTAGCAAAATTTTACAACAATCGGTCCAGCAATTTCGTAGACTTCGAGAGTAAAAATGGATACAGACACCAGACAGACAGACCGACGGAAACGGGAGACTACTTTTTTCGTACTATAGGGGTCATGAAATGTCAAGGACAACACAAACTAATGAATGAGATAATACGGGAAATAAAGATACCAAAATAATGTAAGTATTCATCATATTACTAATATATAAAATAGGGACAAAAGAGAACAAGATAGATAATCATAGGGGTATTATATTGTCAAGTATCCCCGAAAAAAATCCGGCAAGAATAATGGAAAGAAGAATAAAACAAAAGATTGAAACGAATATGTGGACATAGAAGAGGAAGAAGCACACAAGACTTATTAATATTTGTGATCAGGAAAGCCAGCGAAAAATATACGGCATTGTTCCCTCGGTCGAAGTCCTTCGATAAATCGAACAACTTTCTTTTGGAGTCGGAAAATGTTTATAGCTTGGGTTGAATTTTCCTAAAGTAAAAATATATAGTGGCATAATTTAAGAATTGCTTAATTTGTCTAATCAGGTAGACTATTGAAGTCTATCAATAGGTATTCCTAGTAGTTTGACGCTAATTAAATGTGAAGCGCCAGATAAGGATGAAGGATCTAAAAATTCAAAATAACCATTAATAAGTTTAGGGACCGGTTTCGTGTATTTCCCAATTGATACACATCTTCAGTCTTAGCACAAAAAATTTAAATAATACCAAATTACCTAATCTGTCTTGTTAACACAAGAGTTGTCCAAATAATATAAAAATTAGTACGACGGTAATTTAACTTGATAATTTAAAATTTGCCGCTGATCGACCTTCCTGAAGTAGATGGTTTTGCCCTTGCAGCTAACGTCCACAAAATTGCACGAAATCCTTTAAAATTAACCCTGCATTACAGTCCGTCTGACTATTAAGTTCCTCATATTTGACAACAATTATTTTAGTAGTTTTGGAGATTATCTGCCTAACACAAATCGACACAGACAGACAGACGTCAGACGCCAGAGTCACGGAATCGTGTGACCAATTTTTTCGGTCCCTAGAGGTCATTAAACGTCGAGAAAACAAAAAATTAGCAAGTCGCCAAATGAACTGGAGGCCAAAAAACACATTTCCACTTCATTTTCGTTTCTTGTCATTTCGTTCATAACCGTAATCGTTTATTTAGTTTAAAATATTGATTTGAAATTAGATTTCTTACAGAATTTTTCTACACATCTCAACTTTCTTCAGAAAAGAACCACGTAGAATTTAATAAAAGGCATTGTCTGCATATTTTTATCCTTTAATTTTATGATAATACAATTTTATAAATGTAAAAACAAGTACAAAATTTTACAAACACTAAGACTTAAATCGAGAGGATTATTTCCGTAATTGTCATTTTACATCTACTGTAACCATTTACCTACGTATATTATGATTACATTTTTTAATACTGACAAAATATTTTTGAAAATCTAAATTTTTTCTGCACTCAGCCACACGTCACCTTCTGCCGATAAAATACCGCCAGTTGGATTTATCTTCAGAGGTTCCATGGTCTTCTTGTTAACCGTAAATTTATAATTTTTCAGCAAAGCCGTTAAACCAACTTTTGATTGCATGAGACCAAAGCGCATACCTACAAAAAATCAACAATCATTATTTTAATACAAACCTTATTTTATTTTTTACCTATACATATCCTAGGACCTTCTCCAAACGGAAGATGCGTGAAGTGGTGTCTCTTACTCTTATTTTCTTCGTTAAATCGTTCTGGGTCAAACTTTTCAGGGTCTGGATAGTACTCTTTATCGTAATGAATAGCATAAACTGGTATTTCAACTGCTGTTCCTTTCTCTATTACCACATTTTGGTCTGGAATTTTGTAGTCTTTAACACATATTCTTGCAAGACGGGACACCGGTGGATATTTCCTCAAGGTTTCGTCAATCACTTGATCCATGTACTTCATTTCTTGGATTGCCCCGTAGGTAATCTCGCCATTATTCTTAGCAAGCACTGCATTTATCTCATCTCTTAGTTTATCTTGGATATCTTGATGTCGTGCGAGTTCATAGAGAGCAAAATTCATGGTGGTGGAAGACGTTTCAAACCCAGCAATGAAGAAAACGAAGCTCTGAGCGGCGATTTCCTCTACTGTTAAACTGTTGCCATCATGTTTGTAACCGCTTTCACTTGAAAGTTTATTATTCTTGAGATCTATTAATAGCTGCATGAAATCTTTGCGTGTCTGATTATTTTTCTCTCTATAGTCAACAGTTTCTTTAACAACTTTCATGAAGAAATTAGAAATGTCTGGAGGAAACACAACCACTCCTAACTTCTTAGCTAAATTAGGGAAACTAGTAATGAGGAATAGGCGAAGCATTCTTAACTTAGAACCTTGGAAAAGTTTACGCCCGTAGTACCTAAAAGTCGAATCCTCTTCCTTAAAGCTGTTAAATTCCAAACCGAACGCACACGATCCAATGATATCGGTGGTGAAACATGCCAGTATCTCTTTGATGTCAATTGGTACTTTTTTCACACGATCAGATTCGAGTTTTGTCAATAAATTGGGCACACAGTCCACTAGCGTTTGAAACATCATTTTCATCTTACCGGAAGTGAACGTTGGGGTCAGTTTGGCTCTTAAATTTTTCCACCTTTGTCCAGCTAAGGAAAACAAATGTGCACTCAAAGGATCTGCTTCCTCGTTACAGTACGCTCCACGATCTACGAAGTGGTGAAAATCTTTTACCATTATATTTTTGATGTAGTCCAAATCAATGACAAAATAAATAGGCGTTAATACTGTATAGATTCCTCCATGCTTCCATCCCTTGGCTTTCATTTCATCGTAACAACGTTTCGAATTTAAGCAGATGTGCTGTTTGTTGTTAAACGGGTTGGGCATGTTACCAAAGGGTATCTCTGGTGGAAGTTGTGGTATATTTTTGCGTGACCAGTACTGGTAGGTCCATTTGAAGTACGCAATGACAAGAGTAATGGCTCCAATTGCACAGCCAATGAAAACTCCGATGAAAGAAGCATACGCCATTTCTATATAACAAAAAAAAATTATTACAAAAACTATCAAATAAATTATATGCACCTACTTAATGTTTAGCTTAAACGTTGTAAAATTTGTTCAAGGTATTTACTACAACTGTGTATCTGTAATCTATTTCACCGTTTATATATTGTCGGTTAATCCCGATAAAAAATTGTTTATCATGACGCACTGCAAAATTATGTGTTTCTCCAACATGAACATGGAGTCAACATCATCTTGAAACTTTTTGAAGAGAAATTAAAGTATATGTGCCAAGAGGCCCGACTAGTGCCCACAGTGATCTCTATTCCTTTTTGTACTCTTTGAAAACTTTTAAAAATATCAAAGACAGATTTAACTTGGAACTAGTTTCTACTGAGAACTGCATGGAAGTAATGTAAACAAATGTCCTTTTGGATTATGCCAAATTTTACCTCGTTAGCTGCGCTCAGCGTTGCTTAACAATTTGACTTGTAAAATATTTTGAACTAGCATTCATTCTTTTAATTTTAAATACGCCTACAGTGTCTTTTTCCCACGTATTGCATCATAGTTGTCTTACTAATCTACCAAGAATACAAAAAATGGTGTAAACTTATAAAATTCAATTTTGCAAATTTTATTTTTTACGATAACCGCTGTATGTTAAAATAAAGATGTGTGGATTTTCGAAAGTAAAAAAAATATGCGATGCGTGTTTCCATTGCAAAATTTGGGATGACATTATCAGCATTTTTGCAAGGGCACGCCGTCAATTTGAATAGTTGCAGTGTAATACTAAATATGACGATACTGTATACCCAAATTTTCAGTAAAATTACATCATTCATTCTTCAGTTTATTTTGCTCGTATTTGGTTATTGCCATCCCAAAAATGTTAAAAATAATAGTAGGGACAACGTTATAGAAAATGATGATTGTGCTGTTTACAATCACGATGATGACGGATATGAAAGATATTTATTATCTGGTTGCAAAAAATAAATTTGGTTAATAAAAGGCCAAAGAACTAAAGAAATAAAATGTATGCTACAAACTTATGGAACTCATATAATATGTCTGGATGGCACACATTAAACCAACCCTTATTGTATTGAATTAACAACCATTCTAGTGCTAGATGATAAGAACATGGGATCCTCTGCTGCTATTTTAATAAGTAACCGAAAACATTAATTCAGGAGGTATTTTTGAATGGAACTAAACAAATTACTGGACTAATTATACCGAATTATATTATGACAAATCATACCACGATTTATTGGAACAGCTGAAATTCTGTAATAGCAGCAGCAGGAAATAGATTACATGGCATGTTGAAAAGAATTGGTTCTTACAAGGTACGAGCAAAAAAAATAACCATATGAAAATGGAGAAGACATTTCTAGAGTAGAGAATCAAATCTTGAGTTCATTGTCATAGAATTCGTGGAGGTATTACTTTAATTAAGGTAATTACTTTATGGAATATCCATTCGGTGTCTCGAAACCTGCTTAGACGGCCTTGACAAATTAATAATTCACAAATCATGCCAGATAATTATTCTCATTCTAAAGTCCATGCGACTCACCGTGATCTAACAATTAATATGACACATACAGGTGCAATTAGTCAATTAGTATGGTCGCAAAAAGAGATTCTATTAATTAACTTGCCCATTCTGCCAACAGGCTTGACTTTTATCAAATAACATTACAGAAGAATAAATGCGATTGTCCCTTGAAGTGTGTAAACTGCAGGCGTGTGTTAGCAAATTTAATTTCGTTGATCATGTTCTGCGATAAAAAGTCACATGTGTAAACATATACATTTAGTAGTGTCAAGCAAAAAGATGACTCTACCAAGCTTGAGAGCGAAAATACAGCAACTGTTACACAATTGGTGCAAGAAGTAACTGTGCATTTAGGATACAATGGTCACCATGAAACAATTCAACACAGCAATAATAAAGGTCAGAGATGTTAGGAATTGTTCAAACAAGGAATAAAACTCTGTGAACAAAAGGCGATTCATCAGAACCAAATAAAAGGAGGAGATTTAGGAGATAAAGTCCGTATCTAAATAAATAGATTTGCCAACATTTAACCTTAAATGGGTACCATTTGTTACAAGTGTTATTGGCATCCCTGCCATTTAGTGAGAATAAGTTAAGTTGGCAATGACCAACATTAATGTACTGTGTATTTTGGTACTTGTAGAATGTTACACATGTTTAGTTATTAAAGTTATAATTACAACAAGCCTCTTTCTTATAACAAATGAAACATGGTGTCAGTGTGGGATTAATAATAATGGATTATTAGGAAAACGATCAGCCACCTAAACAAATACAACAGATGGATGTATCGTAAGTGCAAGTTCCCGAATTGAGGTTAGGATAACCACGTGCAAATTCAAATACTGCAAATTCACAAAAATCCAAGTCATCTGAAGAAAGTAACAATAAATACTAACATGGCACAAGAAATGGGAATGTTTCGAAGGCCCCCAGAGTTGGATTTTTCAACAAACGTATCGTTCAAATGGGATTTATGGAAACAACAATTTGAACTTTTTCTAATGGCAATTTCGAAAGAGGACGAGACAGAAAAAAGGAAAATAGCGATCTTTCTCAACGTAGTAGGGGAAGAAGGAGTAAAAATTTACAATTCCTATAAATTAGGTGAGCAAGCAGACTTAACTCTCGCAATTGTTTTAAATAAGTTCGGAGACCATTGCAAACTGAGAAGAAATGTGATCTACGAGAGGTACTGTTTCCTGAAAATAAGACAAAAGGAAGGACAGAGCTTTGATGCCTACGTAAGTGAATTAAAAAATGCAGCGATGAAATGTGAGTATGGCGACCAACAAGACTCAATAATTAGAGATCAAATTATATTTAACGTAAGAGAAACACGGCTACAGGAACAACTAATTAACGAAAAAGATATTACGTTAGAGAAAACACTAGAAAAGTGCAGAAGTGCCGAAATAAGTAAATTCCAAATCAACGAGTTTTCCAAGGGAAATCAGCATCCAATGGTAAATGTGTCAGCGATCAACAAGAAAAAACAACCAATGAAGCAGATGAAAACTGGGAAACCAACTACGAAAATAATAAATAATTGTAGAAATTGTGGACAAGTAAGTCACCCAGTAAACAAATGTCCAGCGTTCAATCAAAAATGTAGGAAATGTAAGAAACCAAACCACTTCGCAAAAGTATGCAGAAGCAAAACCAACAGCAATCATAGCGTCCACGAAATAGAAGATGAAGAGGTTAATATGAGCAGTCTGCAAGTTCTAAATCTAAAGATCGAGGGTATCACTGCGGAAGAAAACACTTGGTACGAAGAAGTAGAAATTCAAGGTCAAAAATTAAATTGCAAAATTGATACTGGTGCTCAAGTATCAGTACTTCCGTATAATGACTTCAAATCACTGAACACGAAGAAGAAATTGCAGCCTACAAATGTCACACTAGTAGCGTATGGAAATAAAAACTTCAAAATTACTCCAGTTGGACAAGTGACACTGAAACTGAAAGTTGGAAATCAAATAGCAGAAGTTAATTTCGTCGTCGTTAACCCTAGTTCTGGTGCTATTCTTGGGTTACAAGATTGTCTAAAATTGCAATTAATTTCCAGATCAACCAAAGTAAATGAGCCACAGAAGTACATTCACGAGTTAACAATGGAAATGGTTACTGAAAAATACAAATCAATCTTCAATGGCATTGGAAAAATTCCAGGAACACATCACATCACTGTAAGCTCAGAAGTCAAGCCAGTAATTAATCCACCAAGACTGGTCCCTTTAAGTCTACATAAAAGATTGAAAACAACTTTGGAAAAATTCAGCAAAGAAGGAATCGTCAGCAAAGTCAGCAAACCAACGAAATGGGTGAATAATTTGGTAATCATCGAGAAACCAAATGGTGAACTACGCCTGTGCCTTGATCCAAAAGATCTGAACACTGCAATTCAGAGGGAAATATATCAAATTCAAACACCGGAAACCATCATTGCACAACTAAGCAACAAAGAATATTTTTCCGTCTTCGACATGTGTCAAGGGTTTTGGCAAATTGTTTTGGATGAAGAAAGCTCCGAGTTATGTACGTTCAATACACCTTTTGGTCGATATAAATTCAATCGTCTTCCATTTGGTCTAAAATCCAGTCCAGAGGTATTCCAAAAGAAAAATGAAGAAATGTTTGGAGATATCCCAGGAGTACACGTGTACTTTGATGACATTATAATCTCAGGTGAAGATGAAAGAGCGCATGATCGTAATTTGCAATTGTTTTTAAATAGAGCAGCTCAAAACAATGTTAAATTAAATTCAACCAAAGTTCAATTTAAAGTAAAAACTATTCGTTATTGTGGTCACATTATTAGTAAAAATAGTGTAGCAATGGATTCAAAATTCACTAAAGCAATTACTGAGCTTCAAATTCCTAAAGACAAAAAACATTTGTTAAAATTTCTTGGTATGCTTAAGTATCTAAGTAAATTCATACCGAATATGTCCCAAATTTCAGCTCCATTGCGTGAATTAACTAAAGAAAATACACCATTTCAATGGGATAAAATTCACACAGAAAGTTTCAATAAACTAAAAGCTATTATAGCCAAACCACCAACATTAGGTATATTTACTAGTAATCAACAACTAAAAATACAAACTGATGCCTCAAAAGATGGAGTAGGTGCAGTTTTATTGTCCAATAATCAGCCCATAGCATTTGCATCTGCAGCTTTAAGTTCTAACAAACAAAATTGGGCACAAATTGAAAAGGAAATGTATGCTATTGAATTTGCTTGTAAAAAATTTCATTATTATACCTATGGTAGACATGTTATTGTTAATTCTGATCACAAACCATTAGAGTCAATTTTCAAAAAAGGAATAAATCAAATTTCTGCTAGGCTACAACGCATGCGATTACAATTGCTCAAATACGAAATAACTGTTGAATATTTGCAGGGTTCACAAATGTTTGTTGCAGATTATTTATCCAGATCGTTTTTAAATGAGATAGAACCTGATAGTGTAGATTTTACAGTTCACACACTACAAAAGGAAATTGTAATTTCAGATGAAAAGCAGAACCAAATTAAAGAAGAAACAAAAAATGATCAAGATCTAAAACAAATTTTACATTTTTATGAACATGGTTGGCCTAATAATGTTAAACAATATTCAAAGGTAGTTAAACATTTTTGGAAAATTAAACATGACATTACAGTTAATAATGGTATTATATATTTTAATGAACGAATTGTAGTTCCTCAATCGTTACAAAGTTATATGTTAAAAATTTTACACGAAACCCATCTAGGTATAGAAAAAACCAAAGCTAGAGCTAGAGAAGTATTGTATTGGTTAGGCATGTGTAAAGACATATATGAATATATATCAGGCTGTGAAATGTGTGAGAAGTTTAATAGAAATCCGCAAAAGGAACCTCTTAGGTCGTATGAATGTCCAACGCGACCATGGTTTCGAATTTCAGCTGATATAGCTTATTATGCTGGTAATGAGTATCTTGTTGTGATTGACTCATATAGTAAATGGATTGAATTGAAAAAGTTGAAATATAAAGATTCTCATGAGTTAATCAAGCATTTTAAAGAAATTTTTTCACGACAAGGTATTCCTGAAGTCCTTATTGCAGATAATATGCCATTTAACAGCTTTAATTTCAGAAATTTCGCGAATCAGTGGAATTTTAAAGTCATTACTACTAGCCCAAATTATCCGCAATCTAACGGACTAGCTGAGAAAGGTGTAGGAATAGTAAAAAATTTGTTTCGAAAAAATACTGATATAGACTTAGCATTGTTAGAGTATAGGACAACACCAATTGTAACTTTAGGATTTTCACCAAGTCAGTTACTAAATAATAGACGTTTAAGATCAAAATTACCTGTCAATAACAAATTATTAAATACTGAAAATATAAACCCGAAATATGTACATGATAAATTAAAATCTAGTCAGATAAATCAAAAAAAGTACTATAATAGAAGTGCAAAAACATTGTCTTCATTTGAACCGGGTCAAAATGTGTATGTAAAGAATCATAACAATTGGGAAAAGGGAAAAGTAGAAGATAAGTACGACACACCGCGGTCTTATATTATAAAAACTGAGCAAGGTCAAGTGTTTAGGAGAAATAGACGTCACCTTCGTGAATCGAAAAAGGAGTTTGTTCCGCGTGGTAATGTTGTCGATCCAATTTCTGATTCTGAAAATGAGACATGTACCCCTAGTATGAATAATTCGACCCCTTTTAAAACTGTGTCATCCCCAACAAAAATTAATAATGATGTAAATGTATGTTCAGGTAAGGAACCTGTAAGTCGACCTCACAGAAATAGAAATATGCCATCCAAATACAATGATTATGAAGTGTACGGTGTTCCTTCAACCTTAAAATAGTTTTGTAAACTTAGTGAGGGGGGTGTTACAAGTGTTATTGGCATCCCTGCCATTTAGTGAGAATAAGTTAAGTTGGCAATGACCAACATTAATGTACTGTGTATTTTGGTACTTGTAGAATGTTACACATGTTTAGTTATTAAAGTTATAATTACAACAAGCCTCTTTCTTATAACAAATGAAACACCATTCTCTAAATAAATTTATTACACTGCTAGGTATTATAGGAAACTTAAATATCGTACCTGTCTGAAGAATTGCAATCAAAATATTAAAACAATCAGCAGATAAAATGCGGTAGCAATATTTATTACCTACACTTTACGCTTTTTTTCGAGACTACCCGTACCCGTGTTGTAGAGCAGCAGCGGTACGACGTGTTATGCCCCCACTCTCCGTGGGATGGCAGTTTAAAGACAGGTAACTGGGTCTCGCAAAAATTTGGTAGGTAACAGCATCTGTGCAGCTCATTCGATAATACATTGCCAGTATCTATTTAAAAAAATCGTAAAAAATCCTTGCCCTCATAGTTTATGGAACTTTCATTTAACTCCTCTTCACACATTTTTGCTAAAAATTTAATAACAAGAGACTGCACACATTAACATTATTAATAGTTCAATAGGAATAAAAAAAATAAAAGGACACTAGAAATAATGTCACATTCACCTCCGTTGATTGTTTTTGTTGACTCTGTAACTTGATTGGCACAAGAGTAAGTTATTTTAATGCAATTATAAAAAATGTAGGCAACCAGCAATACACTAAAATCCTTTACCAAATCACCCACATGAGCGCACCATCAGAGGTGCCGTCATTGATATTATTCATAGCGGAGACTCTTCTATTTCCTGTTTAAACTAGTAATACCAATACCCTAGTTTATTCATTTGAATTCGTACTAGCGTGTCGACAAGTTTACTTCAGTTTCACTTTCCACTAAAAATATCAGTCAAATGTCAAAATAAATAAACAAAACCACCCCTTCCTGAAGTCCGGACGTTGCACTACTGATTAACAATCAGTTGTCAGATTCTGATGACTAAAGGGCAGATTTATATACACAAATATTTGTCAAAATATGCGCATCTATTATGCATAATGTTTCTTGGAAATATTCACAATTTTTGCCAAATATGCACACAAAAACAATAAACTACAAACACAAAACAAGAAAAATATATACACTACACATTTTTTTTTGCTGTTCCAATCAACAATCAAATGTTTTTCCTAATTTTTCAATGTAAAATTCTGTCTTCTATCTGTCAATAACATTTTGTTTGAAGAAAAACTTCTTTCCATATCAACAAACATACCTAATGGGTGTGTAATTTAACACACTAATAATGTCCGGACTTAATTCTACGTTAATATTTAGACATTAGCTACTTCAAATTAAACTGTTATTAAATGTCTTTTAAGAGCTTGTAACCGAAATTTTTATTACCTCTTTTACTTTTTTATTTACAGAATAACCTATTTTACAAGTTAGTTACTTTTATAAGAATTATAATAACAATATTCAGAACATTTTGTTCAGTTGAGGCTTATTAATGATTTTATTCCTCTGTTTTGAGACGATAAACTCATTCAAATTAAAATCTAATCTAAGTGACATTCTTCCAATATATAAACATAAACACTTCAAGCACTACCCATGTTGCTGAGAGGCCATTTTTCCGGTTGGTTATCTGTGTAAATATGTGCTGTGTTGCTTCCGGCCTTAGACGGATATATAGCGATGTTTGTGAGGCTAGAGGATCAAGACCCCGAAGGTAAAAGGATTCTTCTGGCCCAAATGTAAAGAAAAATAAAATTTATTTGTTTTTAATTTGATTATTACAAAAAGACAATTTTGTCATCGCGTGAGGCTTTGTTGACACATATGATCTGGAGATTGTGTTATGTATGCCGCTGGTTTTTACTTTATAGAGGTTATCAAGAAACAAACATCGCAAAATATAATTTTATCATTTTTCAAGGAAGCGGAATTTATGGGACTTATACTTCAGGCGCGAGAGAAGTTCTGTCGAAATAAACCTCGACATTTTTTTTTTATTAGACTTAAAATAGTTTGTCAAACTAATGAACTAGTAAAAATGTCTAGGGATTTTGTATCTAATGTAAATAGTCTGACTAATGTATATGTCATACTGTAACTAAAACGTATTATGAAGTTGTTATGTTATGTTCTCCATACTTAATTATTAATAAAAGTTTAATATAAAGACGTCTTTATAATCAATGATATGATAACATTGTTAATGGGATTACTATTGTCTAGGAGTGTACACAATTATGTACTATTCAGACTTTTCAAGATAATTTAATTTTTTTGTCAATCCACTCATCGGTTTGCCTGTTGACTTCGACTTTATCATAAGATACCCTGCCAATACTTCTTCTCTTTCGCCCCTGGTTAGCAAAAGCTCAGATTAGTTTGAATATGTTGTTCTTTGTACGTAAAGTACCTGTTAACAAAAAATGTGCGTGTTTTTTCGTAATGATTTTTACCCTTCGACATAAATTTTTTTTTGAAAGTCTCAGTTGTATAACAAGCTTTTTTAAGCGATGGTGAACAAGACGATTCCGAAACGCAAGTAGCCACCGCGATGGATGATCACTAGGATGTCAAAACTGTCGAATTTCGATTCCGACTCATATTGACCTTCCTTTTTTTTTATTGATTAAATCAATTAACCCCATTTTTTCGACAATTTGTGAATAGAGTAATGTTACGCTCGCCTATATTTAGTAATAATAAAATCAAAATTATTTTATTGTGCTGTGGCTTAAAATTAGTAATTTTAGTCGCCACCTCTCTTTTGAATGTATGTGCGGCGATGATGGGTGACATCATCGATAACGGCAGCCTGGAGAGGATTGCCGGAAATCTCGATTGCAGGGTCCAGAAAAACCTCGAAACGGCGTTCGCGAACCATAGGGAGGAATGTATAGGTTTAAATAGAGGCCTCGTTCGGGATCGAGCAAGTCTCAGTCAACGAGTGAATGAGTCTAGTCGAAATTATTGTGTACATAATAAGTTAGTCGTGTAAATTAGTATACCTGGGAAATAAATTTTTGAGTTTTATCCACGCCGATTTTAAAATACCGATCAATTTCTTGAACTATTTTTGATACGTGTGTATGATGTCTCTCTTTAGATCTTACAGAAATAAAAAAAAAATCGTTTGTCTAAAATTCTGCTGAAATTTGTACACTAAGCAAAACTTCTTCAGTTTATAAAGTGATCATCATGCAAATCTTCCCCATATTTTTTCAATATAAAAGTATCACCTACAGGTGCCAAGATGCCAGAATTTACTTTGATTCTAATCGGTATTTCATTTCTTGAATGGCTTGGTCCGGCCTTTAGATTTCCTATTGTTTGGGAAAATTTTATTTGAACACCAAGTGTTCTATATACCTGAACTAGTTTGCGGAATTACCTTTATCGATAGCAACGTCTTTGCTAGAGATTTAATAATTTTTGATGCACCTTTTGTTAAGCAAAGCAAAGAGGCTAACAAATATGTATTTTCCTAAAGTTTGAGTCAGTCATATTTGTTATAGTCAATATTAATATTTATTGGTTTATTAATATTTTTTCAATTTAATTTGTTTTAAAATCTTGATTAGGGACTTTGTATTAAATTTTCAAAAAATAAAGGATAAACAATTTTAATAAAGAGGTTTTAATGGTATATTTTGAACATTCGTCTATACAAATTTACAGAACTAATCCCTTGTCAGAAAGAAACCACGTAGAATTTAATAAAAGTGATTTTTTTTTATTTTTCAGTTTTATCACATTTTCCTCTTTCTACAATGGGCGAAATATGTTACCACACATAAAATATACTAAACATATCTTAAATCGAAAGGACTATTTCGTCTATTGTCATCATCGTACATTTACTGCCACCATTTACATACGAATATTGCATATTATTACACTTATTAAAATTGCCAATGGTTATGTAAATCTAAATTTTTTCTGCACTTAGCCAAACGTCACCTTGGGCCGCTAAAATACCAGCAGATGGATTTATCTTGAGAGGTTCCATGGTTTTCTTGTTAACCGTAAATTTATAATTCTTTAACAAAGCTGTTAAGCCAACTTTTGATTGCATGAAGCCAAAGCGCATACCTATAAAAATCAACAATTACGATTTTAATACAAAATTTATTTTATTTTTTACCTATACATATCCTGGGACCTTCTCCAAAAGGGAGATGCGAGAAGTGGTGCCTCTTACTCTTATTTTCTTCAGTAAATCGTTCTGGATCAAACTTTTCCGGCTCTGGATAATATTCTTTATCGTAATGAATAGCATAAACCGGTATTTCAACCATTGTTCCTTTCTCTATAACCACATCTTGGTCTGGAATTTTGTAGTCTTTAACACACTTTCTTACTAGACGAGGCACCGGTGGGTATTTTCTCAAAGTTTCTTCAATCACTTGATCCATGTACTTCATTTCTTGTATTCCCCCGTAGGTAATCTCACCATTATACTTAGCAAGGACTGCATTTATCTCATCCCTTACTTTATCTTGAATATCTTGATGTCGTGCGAGTTCATAAAGAGCAAAATTCATTGTGGTGGAAGACGTTTCAAACCCAGCAATGAAGAAAACGAAGCTTTGGGCTGCGATTTCTTTCACTGTTAAACTGTTGCCATCGTGTTTGTAACCATTTTCACTTGCAAGTTTGTTGTTCTTGAGATCGATTAGTAGCTGCATGAAATCTTTGCGTGTCTGGTTATTTTTCTCCCTATAGTCAACAGTTTCTTTAACAACGTTAATGAAGAACCTAGAAATGTCTGGAGGAACCAACACCACTCCTAACTTCTTAGCTAAATTAGGAAAACTCGAAACGAACAACCGGCGAATCATGCCTGACCTAGAACCTTTCAAAAGTTTACGTCCGTATTCTCTAAAAGTCGAATCATCTTCTTTGAAGCTGTTAAATTCCAAACCGAATGCACACGATCCTATTATATCTGTGGTGAAACATGCCAGTATTTCTTTGATCTCAATTGGTATTTTCTTCATACGATCAGACTCTACTTTTGCCAATAAATTGGGCACACAGTCCAGCAACGTTTGAAACATCATTTTCATCTTACCAGAAGTGAAAGTCGGAGTGAGTTTGGCTCTCAGATTTTTCCATCTTTGCCCAGCTAAGGTAAATAAATGTGCACTTAAAGGATCTCCTTCCTCGTTAGAGTACACCCCACGATCTACGAAATGGTGAAAATCTTTTACCATTATATTTTTAATGTAGTCCAGATCTATGAGAAAGTAAGTAGGTGTTAGTGCTACATAGATTCCTCCATGTTTCCATCCATTTGCTTTCATTTCATCGTAGCAACGTTTCAAAGATAAGCAGAGGTGCTCTTTGTTGTTAAATGGGTTGGGAATGTTGCCAAAAGGTATCACTGGGAGAAGTTGTGGTACATTTTTGCGTGACCAGTACTGGTAGGTCCACTTGAAGTAAGCAATGACAAGAGTAATCGCTACAATTGCATAGCCGATGAAAACTCCAATGAAAGAATCATACGTCATTTCTAACAACAAAAAAATACGAATATTAGGTAAGTATAAAATAAATCGTATGTACCTACTTAATAGTTAGCTCAAACGTTGTAAAATTTGTCTAACGTATTTACTAATACTATGTATCTGCAATCTACTTCAATGTTTATATAGTGTTCGTAATCCGATAAAAAATTGTTTATCATGACGCTTTGCAAAATTGTGTGTTTCTCCAACATAAACAAGGAATCAACATAATTTTGTATTTTATTTTCATAAACTAAAACATACACAAAAGACCCGATCAGCGTCCACTATAACCTACATTTCTCTCTTCACAATTTCCAGACTTGATATCTAACAGTAAAATAATTTAAAACAACTTCAGTCATTCCCGAATTAAGGCTATTTTTTGCTGAAAACAGCATTGGAAACAAAGTAACAAAATGTCCTCTTTAAATATACAAAATTCTAACACATTTAAGATAGTTCAGTGTATCACTTTTCTCTTATTAATAAGCAAATTCAATGGTGTTATACTCATGAACAAATATTGTTTTGGAAATCCTTAACTGTAAAAATGACATAATTCTTAAATAATATATATGAATACGCCGGAAACGTCTTTTTCCTACTTTTTGCTGAATAATTATCGTACTAGGCTACTGATGAAACAACATGAGAGTAAAATTTCCATTTGTAATAGAAACATTAACATTTTATATAGGGTATCAACTGAAATTTGAAGGTTCTCATCTGACATTTATATTACTATAATTTTGGATTAGGCAGTGCGCAATGATACGCAGGAAGTACCATTTGGTTATAAAGACCACTAAATATCAAATATTATTGAAAGCCATGGATAACTAAATGCAACAAAAAATGGATATTCAGAAATTCAAACATGTAATCGAGTCCATCGGACGACACATTTTCTTCATGTGTTATGACCCCTAGGGTACAGAAACACAGATCACATAAATTTTATGTGGCTAATATGAATATCATGTAGATGGTAAAACGCTAACCAAATTTTGTCTAATCATCCCCGCCAACAATATGATGATGATCAAAATTGCACATAGTAAATTGGTTTTATATTGTATAAAATAACACAGTCCTACGCGTGACATTTTGCATCCATGTTGATTTTTTACCCGAAACATCCAGATTTTTGGAAAAAAATTAAAATTGCATATCATTTTGAAATTCAATTTTGAAACTGCAAAACCTGCTTTGAAATCTTGTATACGTTTTAAAGTTGTCGTAAGAATGGTAAATTTTGAATCAACATATATTTTTGTTTATCCCTTCAAAAAATTGATGACATCATCTCAACATTTTGGCGAATAAATCCTATCTAGAATGTAGAAAATATGATGAGTCTATACTTGCCATTTATCACTGGTTTCATATTTTTTAGAACTGGTTATAAAAAGTACCTCAAACAAATTCGTGAATGAGTCAGCTTATTTAATGATTAAATCAAGAGCGACTCACTATATTTTCTGGAAAATTTAGAAATAGAACACTGTTATTATTAGTACTACACTGCACCTCTGCAAATTGATATGTTGATGACGTCATCATATAATTTTGTAAAGAAAAAACTCATTTAAAACATACCCTTCGCACGCTTCTATACATTTGCTTTAAGATTACATACATATATTTATTTTAACTTATAGGGATTCTCATAAAAAATGAAATTCGCAAAATCAAATTTTATAATTGTATTTATATTGTACTCCAGAGGCGAGGAAAGTTCTGTCGAAATAACCTTTGACCAATTTTTTTCAGTGTATTTTGTTTAATGTTTAGCGCTATACTAAAAATTTTAAAAACAATATTAGTAGGAATAACGTTTTGGAGAATGATAATGCGATCACGATGATGACGAACATAATCATGATAACACAAAACTTAGGTGACTTTTAAGTAAACTTTATTTTCTAACTCTAAGTTTATACTTACTTAATTGTAATTAAAATTAAGTTAATCACGTATTAAACAAGGGGTTAGTGACCCCTGATTGGTGTAGAGTCCGTCACGTGGAATTTAATGACGTGTTAAAAATTTACTCGCAATTAAATATTTAACTGAGCTTCTCTAAACCGGGTTCAAGTCTATTAAAGTATTTTTTAAACACTCGGTTCTGAATAATATGCCTCATCACAATGAATACCAATAATTGCTGAAAGGTTATTTCGACAGAATTTTCCTCGTCCCTAAAATACAATCGAACAAATAGAGCTGCGAAAAATTTAATGTTGATTTTTTTTTTTAATGATAACCCCCCGGCCCCCCATTTCTAGGTAAAATTAATACATGTGTGGATTGTTGAAGCACAAGTAAAGAAATACATAAATATTTCTTGATGATGTCATTTACATTTTGCCAAGGATATACGCGTCCAATTTGAATAAATGCAGTGCAATACTGTTAGTAACATTAATAACAGTACGATATACTCAAATTTTCGGGAAAATGGGATGAGCAATAAAACGTATTACCCCATTAATTTTTTTAAGTCACCTTTTATAAGCAATTCTAAAAAATATGAATGCATTGATAAACGACAAGTATAGACTGTTAATATTGAATGTATTTTAGATTTATTAGACACAATTTTGAGATGACATCATCAACTTTTTTTGGGAGAAGGAGAAACAGCTAAATTTACCATTTACTAGTTAACGGTTTACTATGCTTACGTTAATCGTAGAACATTTGCAAGATTTCAGAGCATTCGATTTTGCCATTTACAAAATTAAATTACAAAATGTCTCTACATAATTTTGAATTTTTACAAAAAACTGCATGTCTAAGGTAATTATTAATCGACAATGCCTCTAATAAACTTAAAACCTTTGCAAGATTTCAGAGCATTCAGTTTTACAACTCCAAAGTTAAATTGTAAAATATTATATCTATATTTTTGATTTTTTTTAAAACCCTGGATGCCTAGGGTAAAAACCTAACATGGATTCTTAAACTATAAATAGAGGAAAGTGCTATTTTATAAAATTTAAATAACATTTACTAGTGTAAAAGTTGAAGATGACGATGACGTCATCGTTGTTAGTGGGAATGATCATATAAATTTTTGTCAACGCTTTACCATCTACAAAGTTTGACAACAATCGATCTGGTGGTTTCGGAGATTATCTGTCTAATAAAAATCACACAGAAGCGAGCAGCGGCGGACGACCACGACAGACAGAGGGAAACGAGAGACCTATGCTTTCGTATTCTTGAGGTCATGAAACGTCGAAAGAATAGCCAATCGCCCGTTATTTGAACTTATAGAGGTTCTCATAAAAAAAAACAAAATCAAGGGAAGTTCTCTCCAAATAATTTTCGATCAATTTAATTAAATTAGTGCTGCAAATTAAAATACTGACCTGAAATTAAGTTTCACTTAGAATTTTTCCATAAATGTAACCCTTTTTCAAAAAGGTACCACACAGAATTTAATAAAACACGTTGTGTGCATGTTTTTATCTTTTAATTTTATGACACCTTGATAAGTGTAAGATAACACAAAAAATATATTATTAGAAACACTAAAGCCTTAAACCTAAAGGATTATTTCGATAATTGTCATCTTATATCTACTGCTAACATTTACGAATATTGTTTTTAAATTTTTTCTGCACTTAGCCAAACGTCACCTTGGGCCGCTAAAATACCGGCAGATGGATTTATCTTGAGAGGTTCCATGGTCTTCTTGTTAACCGTAAATTTATAATTTTTGAGCAAAGCCGTTAAGCCAACTTTTGATTGCATGAGGCCAAAACGCATACCTATAAAAAATCAACAATCACGATTTTAATACAAACTAAGTATCTCTTATTTTTTACCTATACATATCCTGGGACCTTCTCCAAACGGAAGATGCGAGAAGTGGTGTCTCTTACTCTTATTTTCTTCAGTAAATCGTTCTGGATCAAACTTTTCAGGGTCTGGATAGTACTCTTTATCGTAATGAATAGCATAAACTGGTATTTCAACCATTGTTCCTTTCTCTATAACCACATCTTGATCTGGAATTTTGTAGTCTTTAACACATTTTCTTACTAGACGCGGGACCGGTGGGTATTTCCTCAAGGTTTCGTCAATCACTTGATCCATATACTTCATCTCTTGGATTGCCCCGTAAGTAATGACCCCATTATTTTTAGCAAGCACAGTATTTATCTCATCCCTTAGTTTATCTTGGATATCTTGATGTCGTGCGAGTTCATAGAGAGCAAAATTCATGGTGGTGGAAGACGTTTCAAACCCAGCAAGGAAGAAAACGAAGCTCTGAGCGGCGATTTCCTCTACTGTTAAACTGTTGCCATCATGTTTGTAACTTTCATTTGCAAGTTTATTGTTCTTGAGGTCGATTAATAGCTGCATGAAATCTTTTCGTGTCTGGTTATTTTTCTCTCTGTAGTCAACAGTTTCTCTAACAACTTTCATGAAAAAGCTAGAAATGTCTGGAGGAACCACTACCACTCCTAATTTCTTAGCTAAATTAGAAAAATTCGTAACGAAGAACAGGCGAAGCATTCTTAACTTAGAACCTTGGAAAAGTTTACGTCCGTAGTGCCTAAAAGTTGAATCGTCTTCTTTGAAGCTGTTAAATTCCAAACCGAACGCACACGATCCGATGATATCTGTGGTGAAACATGCCAGTATCTCTTTGATATCAATTGGTACCTTTTTCACGCGATCAGATTCGAGTTTTGTCAATAAATTGGGCACACAGTCCACTAGCGTCTGAAACATCATTTTCATCTTACCGGAAGTGAAGGTCGGAGTGAGTTTAGTTCTCAAATTTTTCCACCTTTGTCCAGATAAAGAAAACAAATGTGCACTTAAGGGATCTGCTTCCTCGTTACAATACGTCCCACGATCTACGAAATGGTGAAAATCTTTTACCATTATATTTTTGACGTAGTCCAAATCCATGACAAAATAAATAGGAGTTAATACTGCATAGGTTCCTCCATGTTTCCATCCCTTGGCTTTCATTTCATCGTAACAACGTTTCGAACTTAAGGACATGTGCTCCTTGGTGTTAAATGGGTTGGGAATATTACCAAAAGGTATCACTGGTGGAAGTTGTGGTACATTCTTGCGTGACCAGTAGTGGTAGCTCCATTTGAAGTAAGCAATAACAAGACTAATCGCTACAATTGCATAACCAATGAAAAGTCCGATGAAAGAATCGTACGTCATTTCTAACAACAAAAACAAATTAATCCGAAAACCATAAAATTTATTAGATGTACCTACTCAGTGATTAGCTCAATCGTTTTAACTCATTTAGAACAACTGGTTATCTGTAATCTATTTCATCGTTTATATACTATCCGTAATCTAGATGAAAAGTTGTTTATCATGACACACTGCAAAATTGTGTGCTAGTGTTAATCCGACAAAAACAAGGACCAAATACAATTTTGAGAAAATTGTTTCGAAATGAAAATATAATAATATAGAAACCTGACCAGCGTCCAAACTATTCCCTCCTCTTTTCTTCCTTAATTTAAATTACCTCAAATTGTAGAATATTTTCTGCTGAGAACAGCATTGTAACTAATGTAAAAAATGTTCGTTTTGATTATATCAAATTTTAACCCATGCTGCTGGCGAGTGTCTAAATATGACACTTCTTTTTCATAAAAACCAATATTCAATTTCGTTAAATCATTTTGCTACAAACACTTGATGACAATGGGTTTTACTGTTGTTCTGTCAACTTATTGGAAAAAAACTGTCCGTTGAATTGAAAAATATTGTGTTTTATGTAGCGTAAAATATTTTTTCCACTTATTGCATAAAAGTTGCTTTACTGAGAAATTAAAAAATGCAACATTTTTCAAACGTGGTCGAAAAATTGAAAAGTTACCGATGTAAGTGCAGCAACAACATTCTAAAAATTTAAAGAATATTTTTAGGAATAACATTATAGGGTGATGACAGTGTTGTTCCAGATTGATCAGTGATCACGATGACGATGTAAGCACAATAATTATGATAAAACAAAACTTAAATAACTTTCAACTAAACTGTATTTTCTAACTCTAAGTTTCTTGTTCTGTCTTTAGATCTTATAGCAGTCAAAAGGATTTGGTTTGTCTGAAAATTCTGTTTAAATATGTACATATTTTTAAATATTTTTTCAAATCCAACCATACACCACCTTCCGGGGTCAAAATGCTAGAATTTATTTTAAATCTAAGTGGTTCTATTGTATTTTTATTAACTCTAAACTTATAGTTCCTTAGTAGTGCAGTTAAAGCTACTTTTGATTATAATAAACCAAATCGTGCAGCTACAAATACAAAATTTATATATTTTTAAAATTTTCTCGTCTTTTTCTTTACCTATACAAGTTCTAGGTCCTTCACCAAATGGAATATGAGCGTAGTGGTGTCTTTTGCTCTTATTCTCTTCGGTAAATCTTTCAGGGTCGAAATTCTTCGGTTCTGGATAATATTCTCTATCATAGTGAATCCTCAAAACGGATATGAAAATCATAGTACCTTTTTCATTAACAACGTCGTCGTCTGGAATTTTATAAACTTTGACAAACCTTCTGGTAAGCAAGAGCGGTGATGGATATTTTCGTACAGCCTCACTGAACACATGATCCATGTATTTCATTTCTTGAAGGGCTCGATAAATGATCTTGTTGTGATTCTTAATCAAAATCTGATCTTGAATCTCTTGATTTTTGGAAAGTTCATACAAAGCAAAAGTCGCAGTTAAAGCAGGCGGTTTAAACCCATCAGTAATGAAGGAAATGAAAGTTTGTCCAGCAATTTCTTCAATAGTTAAAGTATGATCGCCTTCATTCCCGTCATCCCTAAACTTACCATTCTTCAGCTGCATAAAATCTTTACGAAGATAGCGACTTTTTTCCCCATAATTAATTTGTGACGTCCTTCTCACGGCCTGGCTAGCTCCTTCGTCGTTGCGGGGTGATGGGTCGTTCGACTGTCTTGACCTTGGGCGCCAGTGTGTCACAAGAGGGCACACAGAAAAAAAAGAAAGATGACAGGAAAGCCGAAGAAGAGAAAGAAAGAGGAGTGGAATAATTAGAATAAAGAGAAGAAAAGGAAGGAAAGGGAAAAAAGGGAGAAGCAACAAATACCCGGTCTAATCACGTATATAATCTGGATTCTATATACAAAAAAAATTAATATAAATTGGGGGGGGGGGGCGGCAGCAGCTCGTTGGTAGGTGGATTGATGACCCTGGTGAACCGGCGACCCGTGACGATTGGAGGCAAAACAAAAAAAAACTGGCACAACGCAAACTGGGACGCACCCGGTTTCTCCCGGACGATCGGCGAGCACTTCCCGGCGATCGGCGCGCACTTCCCGGCGACTTACCGTATTGGTACCAATACGCAGAACGCCCGTTCCCGTCTCCGCGGTCCTGTTGAGGTCAGCTTCGCTTCCTGTGCCTCTCCTGGACTCCGTTGGCCTTTGGTGTTCTCGCCTCAGCCCTTTTCTCGTCTCTCTACCACGGTCTCCCTCTTCCCAAAGCCTCGACAACGGCCCTCGTCGTCTTCACCCAACGCTCGCCTCTCTCTCCTTTTCTTTTCCTTTCTTTTTTTTTCGCTCGTCGCTCCCGCAGAGCTGCGCCGCCGCGTAAATGTCACGTTACACACCCCCGTTAGTTACCCAAAAAAAATTAATAATAACTGGAATTAAAATAATTACGGGGAGTATTAATTTTTTTTCCTAAACCTACTCTACCTACATAATAACTAAATTTATTTAGCGTTTCCCTATAGGACTTGGACCACTCATCCAACTATTCTCCTTATTGGATGGTCCGACATTTCAGACTAATGTCCAAACTGTAGTCCATCACATAGTCAATTTTCATATTTCTAAATTCGGTATAATAGCTGCGTCACAACCTGTCAATCTATTATTTCTGTCTACTCTGGGTATAAATGGCTAAATTTTCAAATTCTGCCAATACTACAAATCTGTCAAATCTGCCAACCTCGACACTAGTGCCTAAAAAAGTCAAAATCGAAATCTATTCTCTACACAAACAAACACCCTAACCGTTCACACTCCATTCACGAGATCTATCGTTCTTCTTCATGCACTCCTCACCTTCCTCACAGCGTCTAATCCGAGTTTCTTGTCTGATCAGGTTTCAGATCCTTGGTATGGTATCTCCCAAGATCCACACCATTCTCTGTCGTTAATCGGTACACTAGAGGTGAAAGGACTTCTGCTATCTTGCACTTTACGAATTTCGGTTCCAATTTAGCGGCATATCTTTTAGAAGCATCTGACAAAACGTAATTTTTCTTCCACACTGTATCACCAACGGCATACAAAGGTGCCTCGCGTCTCCTTAGATTATAATAATGACAATTTCTGTGATACGCCTTATCAAGTTTCTTCTTTACCTCGTTGTACAATGGTAATAAACGATCCATACTTTCCGCATAAATGTCCCTGAAAGTGGGTTGAAGATCAAACTGATGTAGGTTTTCGTCCTTACCGTACAGTAATCCGTGTACTGGTACAAAACGGCCGAAATTCAAAAAAACGGGAGTGTATCCTGTCGATTCGTGGACGGCTGTTCTCAACGCGTAGCCAATCTCGTGGATGTTAGAATCCCACTTGTCATGTCGCTTATCTTTTATGTATGAGCGTATCGCAGCTCCTACTACTTTGTTTACCCTTTCCACAGGATTCACTTGAGGATGGTACTTACAATTAAACCATAATTGGCTTCCAAACTCCTTGGCCAATCCTCTAAACATGTTGCTCGTCAACTGCTTCCCATTATCGCACACTATTACTTGCGGTGCTCCAAAGATATAAAAGACATTCTCTCGCAGATAGGTGGTAATGCTGCTACTAGTCGCCTGTCGCAGCGGCTTCAATAAACAAAACTTCGTGAACCAGTCTGATACCACAAGCAAAAATCTATTACCTTTAGACGATCTTGGAAGTGGTCCTCTCAGGTCCAAAGCAATCATCTGCCATGGGTACGAGACCTTACGGGACTTCCCCATCAATCCTGGTGGCGCCAAATTGAGTGGCTTCTGCGCCTTGCACACTTCACAGCTTCTTACATAATGTTGTACGTCCTTACGCATGCGCGGCCAATAATAAAGCTCCTGCACTCTTTTCAAAGTTTTGAACATGCCTAGGTGCGCAGCAATTGGTTCGTCATGACATGATTTCATGACCTCTGTTCGGTATGTCTCTGCTACATATAATTTCCACTCTGGACTACCATTTTGGCTCTTCAAACGCCTAAACAGGTGGGAGTCATCTTGTATCTTCCACACTGCATTACCATCTGGAAATTTGTTGACTCTTTCAAATCGACGTCTGTATTCCGGATCTTTCATGCTCTCACCCTTGACCATAGTCAATATCGCTACTTCGTGTGGCGCTCTCGACAGTGCGTCTGGGACTACATTCAACGCTCCCTTTCTATGTTCGATCTCACAGTCGTATTGCTGTAGCTTCATGGCCCAACGTGCTAATCTACCTGTTGGATTTTTCAATTGATTGAGCCACAACAAGCTGTAATGGTCAGTTATAATTTTAAACTTTGTACCTTCCACATATGGCCTGAACTTCTCAACACCAAACAATACCCCTAAACATTCTTTCTCAGTAACTGTGTATTTTCTTTCTTGGTCTGTCAGTGTTCGGCTAGCATAAGCTACCGGAGTCTCTTTGCCTTCTTCATTCGCCTGCACAAGCACACATCCTAAACCTCTATCTGATGCGTCGCATTGGATTGAAAATAATTTAGTAAAATCAGGACTGGCAAGCACAGGTGCTGATACTAGCGCCTCCTTGATCTTCACAAAACTTTCCTCAGCTTCGGTCGTCCAAGTAATCGCCTGACCTTTCTTTTGTCCTTTAATGAGTTGAGTTATAGGTGCACTCATCACCGCAAAATTAGGAACAAATCTCCTGTACCAACCCGCAACTCCTAAGAAACGTTTCACTTCTGTTCGCGTGGTGGGCCGTGGATATTCCACCATAGCTCTCACTTTCTCAGGATCCGTTCGCAACCCCTGTCTGTCAATTACGAACCCTAAATAACGAAGACTCGCCCTACAAAATTCACATTTGTTAAAGTTAATTGTAAGATTGGCGTCATGCAGTTTTCCATATACCTGTTGTAACACTTCTACGTGCTTCTCAAAAGTGGGTGTCGCTATCAGTAAGTCATCTAGATACACAAAGACAAATGGTTCTAAAGAGGGTCCAAAAATCGTATCCATAAGACGTTGTTGAGTTTGCGCTGCATTATTCAACCCAAACGGCAGTACATTAAATTCATATAGACCTCTTGATGGTATCACAAAAGCAGTCTTTTCTTTAGAGTTGGCATCTAAGGGAATCTGCCAGAACGCAGCTTTCAGATCTATGCTACTCAGAAACTGAGCTCCCGTTAATTTGCTCAAAATACAGTCAATGTGCGGCAACGGATAAGCGTCGCGCTTCGTGACTGAGTTAAGCTTACGTCCGTCAAAGCAAAATCTGTACTCACCTGAGGATTTCTTTATCAACACTACTGGTGATGCCCACGGGGATGAGGATGGCTGTACTACCCCTAATTCTAACATTTTGTCTAACTCGCCGTTCAAATGTTGTAACATATATGGTGACATGTTGTTATATCTCTGCTTAATTGGTTCTGCTTCACCGGTGTCAATCTTGTGAATTATTTTGTTGGTTCTACCCAACTTGGTTCCTGCTTCCCACGAAAGAGACTTAAATTTGCCAATAACCTCTCTCAAGTTTTGTTCTTGGTCGCTATTCAACTCTCCCCTACAAATAATTTTGTTGACAGTCATCACTGCCTCGTTGGTTGTTTCACCTACCTCGCATCCCTCACGTTTATCATTCACAACAATCGTTTTCTGATTCCAATCTATTACCGTTCCAAATTTCTCACAAAAATCGTTACCCAAGATTACAAAATGGCGGATGGTCGGTACCACCCAAAACTTCATGACTTTGCACGTTCCATCTACCGATATAGGTAACTGAACGTACCCCGTAATTTTCTGCATACGTCCTTCTGCAGTATTCACACCTTCTGTTCCTGATTCGTACACATGTAGATTAAAAAATTCTATCAGATATAGACCGTTTTCCCCTATTACCGAAATTGACGCTCCGCTATCTACTAATGCAACCAATGAATGTCCATACGCTTCAATTTTCAAATGGGGCCGACTATCACATTTTTTGTCTACCTCAAACATAGCATCTAATGGATTTGTTACTATTCCAGAGCATTCGGAGTTACTAACCTGCTTAAACGATGCCTTTTTTATACACCTTTTTGGACATCTTGCTAAAGAACCGCAAAAACTCTTCACCTTCGCCAACCACTCTCTCCACTCGTGTGGTGAGATGCCACATTTTTTCTGAGCCTTTTGATATACACCAGACAACTCGCGTGGGCTCTTGGATGCGTGTTGCCTGTTTGCTAGTTTTTTGAACACTTTGGGCAGTTAGGTCGGATAACGCCTCGTCGTCCACATCCAAAGCACACTGGCTCCTTCTTGGCTTCACGACAATCTCGCTTCAAATGACCAGCACGATTGCAATTATAACATCGCAGTTCACTAACTTCAGGTCGGGCACAATGTGACCGTGACTGCCTCGATTTAGACGAATGCGCCTCTGTCTCTACTAACGTCTCAGAGTAGGCCAAATCTGGTTCTAGCAACGCTACACTTCTCCTTGGTGGGGGTTGGAATCGTTGTTGTGTCGTAAAAGCGGCTTCCAACGTCCTGCAAACATCGGCCAACTGTTCAATGGATCTTATCTCTTGCAAAGCTATTCTAGTCTGGAACTTGGGCAGTAAGTTTTTCTTTATGGTGCTTAATCTAATTTCTTCTGACGGCGGTTGTGAGAGACGACTAAATAAATTCGCCATTGCAGCTATGTAAATAGTAACACGTTCGCTGTAACCTTGTGTCCTGCTACGAATCTCTCTCCACAATTCTTCGTCGTAATCGGGTGGTAAAAAATCTCGCTTCAAAGCCTGTACTAACGAATCCCAACTGTGCACTGAATCTCTGATTGAACGGTACCATATTAGCGCTTGACCTTGGAATAAATCTACGGCAGATCGGAACAATTCTTCTTTCGACGTACTTCTCGCCCTTCTAAGTTCATCAATTCGCTGCAGAAAGGAACTTACTGATTTACCATCGAACGTAATTCTCCATTTGTACACTGGTGCTATCTTGTGCATAGCTCCTTGTACATCTGCGCTACCTGAACCTCCCGGTAAGTTGGCTTGGTCCAATATCTCTAAACGTGTTTCATCGAATGCTACCATGATCAACGTATTGTCCAATTTATACGCTGCGGATTCTTCACCTTCAACGCTGGCGGGGTCTGCACAAAACCTACTGACTCTTCCCAACACGTGGTTGATCCTGGTCTGTAACCTCCTGTTTGCTTCTACCCGAGATCCGTCAAATTGCCTCAACAACTCTCGTATCTCCGCTATCGTGGCGTCAACTTCCTTCTTTTCGTCTTGAAACACAAACTGTGACGTAGTGTAAACAATATTGGGCCGTGCCTGATCTTCCCGTAGCCTTCTCCTCAAATTCTTCCTTTTTGTGTCAACGTCGACACGGTCTGTGCGAGCTACTCCTCGTATCCTCAACTCGTAGTCGATTTCGTTGACCTTGAGAAAGTTCGGTTCCATGTCATAAATGGAGCTTGCACTGGCCATTATGTAACCCTACGATACAAGACCTCTTAAAAATGCGCACTATCTAGATCTAATAAGATACTATTTATTATTGTTGCTTCTCGGACAGAATAGAGCGTAGAAAAAGAAGTAGAAAGAAAAGAAAAAAGAAAAGAACCCGACAACTCAACAAAATCCACCACTCGCATCAAAGTTTTACACCCTAAAGCTTCGAATCAAAGCCCCACGTTGGTGAGCGCCACTTCTTGTGTGACGTCCTTCTCACGGCCTGGCTAGCTCCTTCGTCGTTGCGGGGTGATGGGTCGTTCGACTGTCTTGACCTTGGGCGCCAGTGTGTCACAAGAGGGCACACAGAAAAAAAAGAAAGATGACAGGAAAGCCGAAGAAGAGAAAGAAAGAGGAGTGGAATAATTAGAATAAAGAGAAGAAAAGGAAGGAAAGGGAAAAAAGGGAGAAGCAACAAATACCCGGTCTAATCACGTATATAATCTGGATTCTATATACAAAAAAAATTAATATAAATTGGGGGGGGGGGGGCGGCAGCAGCTCGTTGGTAGGTGGATTGATGACCCTGGTGAACCGGCGACCCGTGACGATTGGAGGCAAAACAAAAAAAAACTGGCACAACGCAAACTGGGACGCACCCGGTTTCTCCCGGACGATCGGCGAGCACTTCCCGGCGATCGGCGCGCACTTCCCGGCGACTTACCGTATTGGTACCAATACGCAGAACGCCCGTTCCCGTCTCCGCGGTCCTGTTGAGGTCAGCTTCGCTTCCTGTGCCTCTCCTGGACTCCGTTGGCCTTTGGTGTTCTCGCCTCAGCCCTTTTCTCGTCTCTCTACCACGGTCTCCCTCTTCCCAAAGCCTCGACAACGGCCCTCGTCGTCTTCACCCAACGCTCGCCTCTCTCTCCTTTTCTTTTCCTTTCTTTTTTTTTCTTTCGCCTCGTCGCTCGTCGCTCCCGCAGAGCTGCGCCGCCGCGTAAATGTCACGTTACAAATTGTATCTTCGACAACTTTGTAGAAGAACTGTGACACATCCCTAGGAAGTGTCCTTACTCCTAATTTTTTAGCTACGTTGGGAAAATTCATCAACAAGATTCGCTTTATGATCCTGAAATGATTCTAAAAAAATACCTTCGACTGTATCATTTGAAAGGTGAATTTTCGTCTTTGTAACTGCTGCAGTCTAGCCCAAAGGCACAAAAACCGATCACATCAGTAGTGGTTCCTTTAATGTTAATTGGTATACCTTTGCCCCGATCAGAATCCATTTTTTCTAACAAATTAGGCACACAGTTGACCAAAGTTTGAAACATCATCTTGATTTTACCAGACGTGAAAGTTGGATTGAATTTCGTTCACAAGTGTCGCCACTTTAGTCCACCTATGGCAAACAGACGTGCACTCAAGGGATTAGTTTTTTTGTTATAGTACTTTCCACGGTCGTCAAAATAGTGAAAATCTCTTGCCATTATGTTCTTCAAATAATCCAAGTCTACTATCAGGGAAGTTGGAGATAGAGTGATGTAGAGGCCTCCATGTTTGCAGCCTTTAGAATTCATTCGGTCGTAGGAACGTTTTTCGGATTCTAGCTCTTAAATAGGGTAGATTTCTTGTTCGCCAATACTGGAAAACATATTTGTAATAACCTATTATCAAGCTTATCAATAGGCAGCTGATACCAATAATAGTAAAGGCAAACGTCAAAATCATTTCTAAAAAATTGCTCGAAGGTATCCAAACTATTTTATACTCACATAAATATATAGCTTTGTATTTACAGTGTTTATACAAACATTTCAGAGTATTAGATTATTCTGCAGGCTACAATCACTACATTGTTATCACCATCTAATAATTCCGCAAGTATTATTCATATTTTGCAATTAATTTGAACTGTTTTTAAAGGAAAACTATATAATAGTTGAGTATATTCACCTCAAACAAATAACACCGATTTATCTATTGTGTTTAAAAATAAATTATCGTTCAAACTGTGTACAAACTTTGTTTGATCTAAATTACATTTGGTTAAATATGAAGAATGGAGAATGGTGTTACATAATGTCTCTTCATTCTAATTAATCTTCAACTTAAAATTCAAGACTTTCTGTGATTATAGAATTACTTTGTTAATAATAATAATAATTTAATAGATCCAACGGCCAGAGGCCTTTACAGGAAAATATAGTACACATCAATTATTATTACAATACAAAAAACACTTACTAATCAATAGACGAAATTACTTAACACTAATGAATAATTGCAAAGTGAAATTATAACTGAGAGTAACTGAATAAGTTAACTAAAATATATACTTTTGCATTTACTTTGAAATTTTCTAAAATTCATCCCAAATAAATCTAAACCAAATTTGTGCTTGTTATATTCTCTTAACATACGTATTATAGGAGAGTTAAAATACTGATTCGTGTTAGTACAACTGTAATGAAACAACAGTGGATTTCGAGCATTTGTACGAGGTACAAGAAAATTGATCTCAGCCAATATGTTACTATCTACAGTAGCGGTCATTTCTACGGAACCACTTGATAAAAAGTCAAGTTGGTAGCCCTGTCATCTAGTACTTTACGCCGAACGCGGTTGGTAGCGGTAGTTGATATGGCAATCGAAACTAGCGCAACACGAATGTTTCGGTTGCCCTCAGCTATGCCGCACTGTATCCCGTGCAGACTGTATGTTCTGTTCATCTATTTATTAAAATAAAATATCCACATTGTCAATTTGACCCTTTTCCTGTAAGATCGTAAAACTTCCATAGTGACTTTTCGTGCGCACGCATCTTCAAAACCACGTTGGAAATTGTATCCGGCACTCCGGCAGTAGAGCAAAGGCCTGTGACAACAAACCGTTTTAACAGAATGCAACCGGCTACACATGCGTAATCTGTCGCTCATTGGTTAATTTAAACTTGGCGCTCCAAAAATCTGACTTCGCCTGCGCGATGTTGTCTCACTCTGTGTCATTGGAATTTATATAATGTCTACTCACTTTGCTTACAGGAAAAGGGTCACATTGGCCATCTAACCTGTCAAATTTTTGACACATATGTTTTCCCCCAGAAACCCGCCAAGGTCACTTACACCAAACAAATTTTGAAAATTTACACTAGGGAGTGGTTCTATAGAAAAGATCGCGACTTTAGGATAATATTATTCAGAATCTTAAATAAAAACATAACAGAATGGTATTTTCTGCGATTACACAACGATGTTAAATTTAATTCATCAAGTAGTTCCTCTTGTGGATAATTCCTTACTGGATAAACACCATGCTTTTTGAAATAAACGTATTTACACAGTTTTCTTTGAACAGATTCGATAGTTGCTACGTGAACATTATAATGAGGGTTCCATACAATACAACAGTACTCTAACACAGTTCTGACAAATGAATAAAATAGTAAAAGTATACAGTCAGTATTATGAAACTCCCTAGTGTTTCTTACGACAAATCCTAACATTTTCATTGCCTTATTAGTGATGTAGCTAATATGTGAAACAAACGACATACTGGAGTCCATAACAACACCTAAATCTTTGAATTCATAGCACCTAATAAGTGATACATCCAACATTTTATAATCGAAAATGATATTAATGTGTATACGGCTGTAGGTCATTATACGACATTTCTCTTTATTAATTGATAACAAATTTCTGCCACACCATTCTAATATGTTATTGATATTATCTTGCAAATCGATACAATCTGTCACATTGTTGACAATCTTTACAAGTTTTACGTCATCGGCATACAGAAAAATATAACAGTCCAAGTTAATACACTTAACTAAGTCATTTATATATATTGTGAATAACAAGGGACCTAAGTTTGATCCTTGCACTACACCTGAATTACATTCAAAAACAAATGACCTATGCCCACAATATTCAACATATTGCTTTTGACCAATCAATATCGACCTA